GAGGAGAAGGAGGAAGGAGGAGGAGGAGGAAGGAGGAGGAGGAGGAAGCAGCAAAGGAGGAGGAAGAGAAGGAGAAGGAGAAGGAAATGGGGGAGAATGGAAAGATTCTCATGCAACACCCAAACATAGTTTCTCCCTAAGGGAGCAGTCCTGCATTCTGTCCCACACCTTCCTATCCAGGCTAGTTGGTTGAAATGAGGCAAAGACATCCCGAGCTGGGAAAGCTGTTGGGAGGATGTACATGAAGGGAGGCTCAGTGTTCAAAACACACAACCTGTTATAGTTTATGTCTAGATGTCTCCCCAAAGCCTCACTCAGTCATGGGGGCAGGCTTCTATGCTTTGTGATTAATTCATGATCTAATGCTGGGATTAGGTTGCTACACCTACTCTCTAGGGCAGGTAGCCTGCATACAATATAAAGTATGGAAAGAGGCTTTCTCTTTGTCTCTGTCTCTGTCTCTGTCTCTGTCTCTCTCTCTCTCTCTCTCTCTCTCTCTCTCTCTGTCTCTTTCTCTCTGTCTCTTTCCCTCTCTCTCCCTTTTTGCTCTTGTCACTTTTGTTATCTTCTGCCACCATGAACTATTGCCCCTCTGCCAAGTGCCACCCTACCTTGGAGACAGGTGAGTATGGACTGAACCCTCCACAAACTGTGAGCTAACTGAACCTTTCCTTCCTTAATTTTGAAGATTAGGTCTTTCATCTTAGCATTGACAAAAAGAACCAAGACATGATTTGGTATCACATGGTTCAAAAGCCTTTGGGAATGGCTTGTGGGAAAAGTTTGGAAATGTTTGCAGATTTTACCTGAAAGAGTAGAGCTGTAACTCCTTGGGCTGTTCTGCGTGGGAGATTTTGATTAGAGCTCAGAAGACCAGAATGTTGATAGAAATTCAGCTCATAACAACCAGGCTCAGGAGGTTTCTGCTGGGAAAAGAGCTACGCTGGCTGTTGGACTCGATAGTGTGTGTTATGGCTTGGAAGAAAGTTTGTCTGCATTTTGCTTGTGTCCAGAGATGTTATATGAGACTGAAATGAAGAGCAGTGGACTAATTAATCAGGTAGAAGAAATTAAAGGCAGTTGAATGTTGAGGCAGTCAGTGATATGGATACTGTTGGGGGCTTTTAGCCGGATCTCTCTTGAGGATCAAGTCCAAGGAGCCCAGCAGAATGATCTAAAACACTGTGAGAAAGGAAGCCCTAGTAAAGCGTGCATTCCACAGATAGGGCAGAGGAGATGTTCATTGTGGAGAAGGAACAGGAGAATAAAAAAGGTGGTCTGAGGACATCATGAGAAGCAGCAAGACCCCTTCCTGTGAGCTTCAAAATTGCAAAAGGGCAAGACTTTGCTTTGAGAAGAAAGCTTAGGAGGACCTTGTTCAAGAATGGCAGTGACTGCATCAGGTTTCAGAATGGCAGAGGCCTGGCAAATCCGTTCCTCAGAATGGAACTCGGAGTGCATGAAAATCCAGGCACTGAACCCCTACAAGGTCTACTGGCAGCAGACCTTGGCGCCATCCATGTGGCACTGGGTTTTGGTGCATGTAGAATGCAAGAGTTGCGGGGTTCAGAAGTTTTCCATTTCAGTTTCAGAAGGCCTGGGAGGCAGGCAGCATGCCCCTACAAGGGAAGTGTGTGAAGCTGTGGGGGTGGAGCCAAATGCATAGTGGAGACCCCAGACAGAAGTGTGGACAATTCGGGAACATGTACTGTTGAATGAAAGCTGCAAGGAAGGAGCAAAGTGGACCAAAGAGAGAATCCAAGGGAGCTACAACCAGCAGCAGTGCCATGAAGGCTGAGCCGCCACAGCCCTCTGGAGTTCATAACTTGACATAGGTTGCATGGCATTGGGTGCTGCACATGGAACTGTTTGTCCTGCTGGATTTTGGACTTGCACTCGTCCCATTCCTTTGTATCCCCCTGTCTGTAACTTTTGGAATAGAAATGTTTATCTTATGTATTGAATGTTGAAAGTTTTTAACTTTCATTTGCACAGGCACTCAGAGCTAAGAGTTTGCTTTGCATCTTGGAGGAGACTTGGGGCTTGGACTTTTCAGTAGTGCTGAAACTATTAGGACTTTGGCACCTCTTAGAGATGGTCTAAATGCTTTTGGCATAAAGAGATTCCCATGAGTCTTTGGGAGGCCAGGGGCAAAATGTTATGGTTTCTGTCTGGATGTCCCTCCAAGGTATTATGTGGTCATTCAGGTTGGGTTTTTCCAAGACCACTGAAACTAGATTTTGTGATTGGTTCATTGTCTAGTGCTGAGATTGGGGATGTGAGTGCTACACCTGTCCTAAGGTGGGTAGCCTGCATATAATATAAGGGAGAGAAGGAGTCTTACTTTCCCCCCCTTTTTGCTTTTCGTCTGTTGCCTCTCTGGTAGTCTTAGATACAAACTTTTGCATGATCCTCTCTCACAGAAAAAGAATATGCTACTTTTAAAAACTATTTTGAAATATGAGTATGGAAATATAAATTCAGTGTGGGTCTTATCTAGTTGAAAGAGTCAAGTTTTCTATTCCAACCATATTAATTAGAGGACACAATCCTGGGGTTTCATGGTGGATTTGGGGTGGAAATGCTTTCACAGGGTTTGGCCTTTCTGCACACTTGATGACCTGGTTCTCTGTGATCTCTCTACTATTGCCTTTGTTCATACAGCTCGCTGTGCATGTGGGTGTGGACACTTCGGCAAAGGCAATTTTTCTAGAACAGTGTGGCAAGAACCATGGCTACCAAGATGGTGACCTCCGGGGCTTCCGGCCTGAGGGAGGTGTGTGCCTTCCAGGTGGTCCAGAAGTGATCATGTCAAGGATCAATATGAAGAAAGTCTGCAAACAGATTGCCATTAAGGATGTTGCAGTGGCCTTTTCTGGAGATGCAGGCAGGTAGGCTTTGCAAGTGTAGGGGCACTAGCCAAGTGCAGGGGAGGAAGTGCCCTTTAAGCTCCCTCTCTTTCCTGAGGAAACCATCCTGTATCACCCAGCTGCCTGCTTGGCCAGGAGCCACCCACTGAGTCACTCTTCCTGGCTGAACAGTTGTTCCCATCAGGGCCTGGCTTGAGGTCTCCTTTTAGGACCCCTCACTTTCTAACATTGAATTTGGACCATTGCTGTAGAAGAGATATTATAGAAGAGATGGGGATTTTGAGAGCCAGGAATATTTTGTGTATGCTTTTTTTTTTCTTTGATGTTGAGAGTTAATTATGTGGCTGTGGTCTCAGATGACTATTCACATACCTATGCTTCTCCCAACTCTGGGGCCCCTGGAGGCACTTTCATCTAAGTGATAAATGAACAAATGACTCAGTTAAGATGTGAATGAGGGAAAGATTTACTGGGATAAAGGGGATATGGACTTATGAATTGAGAGCCTTGTCCTTTTCTCTTGGACATTTTCTGGTCATTAAACCATGAGACCAAGAGTCAGACCTTGTCCCGATCATTCCTCTCCCATGTTCTTTCTTAGACAGCAGAACCAAGCTTGAGTGTTTCGGAGGTGTGTTCCTTCCTCCCCATGCTTTGTAGATGGAGCATGGCCATGAATGCTTGTGGTTCACATAGGCTGAGGGCTGAGGGTGGTCTGAGAAGTAATGTAGTGCTCTGTGGCGATGCAGGTACGTCTGCGATTACACATACTACCTGTCTCTGCATCATGGAAACGGTCATGCGGCACTCATCCATGTCCCTCCACTCTCACATTGGTTCCCAGCCAGCCTGCTGGGAAAAGCCTTGCAAGTCATCCTCCAGGAAATGCTGGAAGCAAGTGGGAAAGCCCAAGCTCAAAGCCAGGATTACAGAGAATTGAGCCGCACTGATTCCACCCAAAGGGAACCAGTTGGGGAATGTCTCCTTCAGAGAAAAATAAATGTTCAGTCCTATGTGTGAAGTTCAAGTGTGCCTTGAGAGGCTTTTAAAATTGCTTATAAAACAGTTTACACAGAAGGAAAAAATTCCGAATTAGCCCAACAAAATCACAGAGTTATTTTATTGTCAGAAGAAAGAACTCTCTAAAAGGCAGATGTTCCACAAGGGATTAACTAGCTTCAGTTATGGTTTTCCTGACAATAAAATGAAATCCTAGTAATTTTTTTTTCTCCTAAAAGACTGTACAGTAGGGCTGTGGGATCCTGGTCAGGCTTGAGGACCACAAGGCCCTGGAAGAGCAGGTGTAGCTACTCCTTCAGGTGTAGTGTTTATTTTCGGGTACCCATTTTAAGAACTTTGATGTGTATGGTTTAGTGGTGTCCAGCACACCTCCCTTGTCCACCCACCACCACCACCATCCATCTCTAGGGCTTGCTCACCATCCTGAACCAAGACTTTACTGCATATACAAGAACTACTTCTCCCTCATCCTGACCTTTAGCAGCTACCATTTTACCCTCCATCTCTATGCACTCAATTAGGTGCCTAAGGAAAACATTTGGCATTTTGTGTTTCATTTATTACAACATCCTCAAGTTTTGTTGCTGTTATAATCAATGACATGATTTCATTGTCTGTAAAGGCTAAATAATATCCCATTATATGTCCTTGCTGCATATGGCTTTTACTTCACCTATGGATGGACACTTGGGGGGCTTCCACCTTTTGGCTATAGCTAATAATACTGCTATGAAAATTAGCCTCTGACTATGTGTTCAAGTCCCTGATTTCAGCTCTCTTGTGTAAATGCCCAGAATAAACTTCTGGAACAAATGAGAATTCCATGTTTAATGTTTTGAGGAACTACCATATTGGTTTTCATGGTGACTGCAATGTTCTATATTCTCGCTAGCAGTGTTTGCTCTTAAAGCAAGCTATTGAGTTGAACTTACCTTCTCTCCATAATGAGCATTATCCTCAAATCTTAAAAATCACAAGCTCCTTGGTTTTGATTTTATGACACCGCACTGGGCCTTGTGCCAAACTGCCCACAGCAAAGTTCTGTTTGTCCAGTGTCTGTTGGGATACCATTTTTATTCATCTGCACATTGGTAACTTAGTTTTTTTCACCTTTTTTTGGTGTCAGGGATCAAGCTGAGGACCTTATACTTGCCAGGCAGGTGTTTATGTCACTGAGCTTTCTCTCCAGCCCAACTGTTTTTGGTTTATTTTTTATTTTTTAGTAATAGTGTGAAAGTAGCTAAGGCTTAGTTCATTTTCTGTTACGTTGCTCTGCTTGTAACTACTATTTTTTACTTGATTATAATAGAAAAAAAGTCTCCTAGTGCCTAGATTCACGTACTGTAAGAAAAAGCATCTGTAAACTAATAACAGAGGCACTGGACAGGCGTTGCTTATTTTGCCACAGACCCCAGCAGATGTGTGTCGCAGAATATACATCACAGGCCTTGCCTTGTCAACACACCTGGGTTGTTTGACATACAGCAGATCTAAGCCAAAGCCTGGAGGTAGGGTAACATGGTGCTGGGTCTAATGGCTGGTGGTTAATGTGGAGATACTGCTGTACTCCAGGGCAAGCAGCAGCCTCCTAGAGCTCTCAACTCCTTCATTCTTCCTCCTGTTTCAGGACACTGTGCAACCCAGAGACTTCCAGGACAGGACTCTGGTATCACTGTAAATTACTCAATGTCATGCATACATATTAAGAAAAAATTTAGACACCCAACTGGGAGGCCCAAGCTCTCTTGTGATGAACTTCCCTACCATTTCTTGTTCTATGGCCTCTACAGTCATCCGTGGAAATCCTCAGAGGTTCTAGTTTCTGTGAATGACACAGACCCACCATTGATTTGCAGCAGGACCTGCTCAGCTATGGCTGCTACAAGGGACTTCTGAGCTTGTGCGAAAACTGTGTGTCATAAGAGTTTGGTTACTTAATAGCCGGAGAGTTAGGAGTATGCCCATGTCTACATCTTTTAAAAAGACCTATAGAAATGTCTGCGTTTTCAAGGTGCCTTTGAATTTCAGTGAAGACAGAGGACGGGAAAGGCCTTCACTGACAACAGAACACTACTAAGACACACAGCCGAGTATGGCCCTGTAGCCAGCTGTAGTTTGAGTGGATCTCCTAAGGGTTTGCATGTTGGCAGCTTTGTTTGCAGAGTGCTGCTGCTGGAAGGTAGTGGGGCCCTTGAAAAAGAGGAGCCTGGCAGGATGTCTATAGGTCATTGGGGCAGTTGCCCGCAGTAGACATTAAGGAACTTTTTTTTTTTTTAATTTTATTTGTGTGTGTGTGTGTGTGTGTGTGTGTGTGTGTGTGTGTGTGTGGCCAGCTCAGCCCACCAGGGGGCGGGGCTGGCTGGCATGTGGTGCTGGGGGATTGAACCGCGGTCCCTGTGCTTTGCTAAGCTTGTTCTAAGTAGGTACTTTAGACCACTGAGCCATCTCACCAGCCCCATTAAGGAACTTCTTCAGGATCCCTGAACTCTTCTATGGAGTTGCTTTTAAAAGTAAGTGGAGCCCTGACCTGAATTTCTTTGAGATGTGAGATCTTCTTCCCACATGAGTTCCTGTCACTGGCCATGTGTTCTTTCTCAGAGACAAGCTGATGCCCACGGCATGCTCAGAAGCCTCCAGCACTGTAAGTCAAAGTAAACCTCTCTGTGAAGTTAGCGTGCAAGTATTTTGTTAGAGTAACACAAGGCATACACACACACAGGTGGACCTATGGGAGCAAACAGAAACAGCTGCTCTGAGTACTCTTCAGCGGCACAGAGTAGGGAGGTTCTAATTTCTAAGGGCCCACTCACTGCCCTCCTCCTAAGAAACTGGTGCTCTGGCTCGTGAAGACTTGTGGCAACTTGGAGATGCAGCATCAGCCTGTTGGACAGCCTAACCTTGGAAATGATACCTTCTTTGGAAATCTATTGGGGTCCTCTGACCATCAGGCTCTGGATGACCGTGGTGAGCAGGACCCCAGGCCAGCATTGCTCTTCAGTGCTTTCGGAGCTTAAATGCTTTTTGCTTTTAGTCAGCCAAGACCTGAAATTCTGTTAACTATGGTCTTTTTTTTTTTTTCTGTGGGTGGGCAGCTCAGCCTGCCCTGGGGGCGGGGCTGGTGCACATGTGCTGGAGATCCAACTGCTGTTCTGCGCTTTGCCTGCATAAACACGTGCTTTAGACCACTGAGCTATCTCGCCAGACCTCGGTCTTTATTTCTATTGTGTACAACTTAGCATTTAGCTCTTCCCCTAATAGCCTGATTTCATTGCTGGAATTTTAATTTTTCCCGATCAGATTTTGTGATGTCCCGCTTGTCCCCGCCTAGGTGTTTGTGCATATTTGGTCTAAGGCATTTACAGCCTGTTTCCTTTTCCAACCACAAGCCCCCCGCCCCCAAAGACAAAGATGATGCTTAGATTGTAGAGTCCCGGGGTGCAGGCAGGACTCACTAATCACCAGTTAGAAAGAGGCTACCATGTGCTGGAGTGCCTGCAGCAGGCCAGGTCCTGCGTGAGACTTTCGGGGTGCTCTCCAAGTTTGTTTACCCATCAGGACATAGGGACAGCAGCATTTTAGTCCTCTGCCCCTCAGTCACACAGCTCCACCCCGCTGTGGGCTGACTGCTGATGATGGAAGAGGTAGCAAAGAAGATGCTTACCAATCAGCCAAAGGTGAAGCACAAACTTGTGCATTTTACGGGTTCAGATTTCCTTCCAGCTGATGTACTAGCATAAGGAAGAGCAGCTTCAGGGGCTGCAGCAATGTGCACAGAGCGCGCGCTGGCAGAAGGCAGCACTTTCACAGAGAACACTTGCAAGGGACACGTGGGAACACTCATGTCGCACAGATCTGGGCTGCCCTGCTGCAGAAATGCAGCGGTGGGACCACAACGGGAAGGAAGAAAACTGGAGGCAAAAAGTGCATACGGAATTCTTTTATTTAACTTAAACCATGTAGTACTTTAACTACTAGAAAAAAAGCAGAGTCAGAGAAACTAAAGTCACCTTAGCTTCAGCCTTCCAAAATAGACAGTCTCTTTATTTCTCGTAAGTAAAGAATCCAGAGTATATCGCAGTAACAGGAATAAATTCTTACAACAGAATATACAAAAATGTTTTGAAATTTTATCTACTGATTTTTTATATAAACAGGATTTTTTAGGAATAATTTATACACAAGGTCATTTTATGTAACAAATTGGCCATGTTAGCTTTTTTAAATTTTACTTTTTTTAAAAAAACCTTTTAAACGAGAGAACTCAAGACAATGCATTATTTGTGATGCATTCATTCCATCACGCCTTCTAGTTCGATTTTTTTTTTTTTTAATTCCAGAGGTAGACAAACCCTGGCAAACCTCTTAGCATAACCTCACTGGCTTAGAAAGCAGACAGGTGTTTTCACCAGGCACAAGTTCCACCTGTGGATGTGCGAACACCCCGCCAACCATCCACATACGAAGGTGAAAACAGCAAAAATACCAGCCGGTTTCTGGATCTTTCTCCTATGGGGTACAAATTTCCAGATGTTTCTAATAATAGGGATTTTGTGGGGTTGTATAGACATGGCCAACAACACGCTGGGAACTAGAGGACATGGATTCAACCTTAAAAATTTTTCTGGGAGCTGTATTGTGGTTTTTATCAAAGAATTTGTTCTGTATTGGAAAAGATGTATCTTCAGTGTTCTGCCTTAGATAAAAATAAATGTCTCTTCCTTGTTGGGACAAAGCATTTGACACGATATGAGGCAGAGGAGCAGATGGCCTGGGAGCTGCACAAGTTTTTATGTGGTCATTGTGAAAACCATGTGCTGTGCCCTCAAATCCTTTTGCCTTTGTGGCATTGCAGAACCATGACAATTATCAAGTCAGCTGAGCCAGATGGGGAGCAGCGGGGCTCACCACTGGGCACAACACCTCCCCTGCTTCCCTGGCCAGTGAGGTTCTCTCTGTCGACAGTTGCTCCACTGCAAGGGGAAACGATGAGGACCAGATGAGCCCCTTCCCAGCCAGAGGCTTCTAGAAGACCGAGATCCTGAAGATACAGATCTATTCTTTTAAATCATCATTCCTTTGTTATAAAGGAGGGCACAAAAGCATGGGGGAAAGAGGGTGAACCATGGCTCGGGTCTGGAAAAAAAAAAAAAACTTTTTTTTTTTTTTTTTTTGGCATATTGTAAAGCTAGCTAGTAAACAGGTGTCCTAAAAAATGGATCACAAATACATTTGCACACACAGAGAAAAAGTGTCTTTAAATTATTTTCGGCAATTATCAACTACAAATATTTTATAAAATTATTCTATGCTCTTACAAAAATGCAATGAAACATTTAGTTCTTGTAAACCAGATCTTCGTCAACTGACTACCCGTAATCTACTGGACTTAGGAGCCCTATTGGAAACGCTAATGAGTGACTGAAAAAAAAAATGCTTACCAGAAAGATGCAGACACAGACATGTGGACATACAAGTGCGTGATTATGTTCTTATAGAAACAAAACAAAATCCTAAAGTCATGCCCCAGAACTGACACCTGGCGAGTGCGACAAAGTTCATATTCTTATACAAAGTGACTTAAAACTCTGTGACAAATTTGCAGAGCAGGGTGTTAGGTTTATTTGTGGGAACCAAATGCCCATGGATGACTGTGGACCTCTGATGTGGTCTGACTCCTGCAGAAATCATCAGTTTAAAACATTGCCCCTGCTTCTTCCAAGTCCTGTACCCTTCTGCCTGTTATTTCGGCTCTCCATGTCCCAATCCCTGTGAACAACGGCTTCCTTCTGCCTCTGTCTGGTCATTCCGTCGCCAAGGAGCATTCATTTCTCTAAATGACCCACTAGTTGTCCAAGCTGGAGGCCAACAATGAAGCCCTGCGGCCTGTCCAGGGTCTGTATCTTCAGCATCTCTGGCAACAGAGGTTCCATCTAAACGACATCCTCTCTTGAAGTTCTCACTGGTACCACCAACTAGTTCATAGTGGAGTAAGAAAGTTTTGACTTTCATCGCTGGTTCTTAAGGAATAGATCTCTGGTCCTTGTCTCAATGCTGCTTAGCCCAGGAAAAGAAAAGACGGCTGACGAACACAGAAGTAACATTAACAAAGGAACAATCCCCAAACCTTCAATAGACTACTGGGACTGTGGGAATAGGCTGAGCCATACCATGGAGTGTCACGGCCAACTGGAAGCTGCTGGTTTTGGAAAGGAGTTGGCTTTCCACAGGATCCTGCCATCCTGGGAGGACCCAGCAGTGACAGCTGAGGACCTTGGATGAGCATCCTAGCTTTCTCGCCCACCAGAGCTCAGGGTGACAGTGCCACTACTGCCACCTGTATTAGGCATGGCCACTGTCCTAGAGGTGGGCTGTTGAGAAGGCTGCTTCCATGGGCCAGACTGGCCTTGGCATTGTCAATGGCTTGTCAACCGGTTATCCCAACCAGAATTCAACAGTTCCTGTCAAGCATTCTCCCGTTCGGTAGTTTCACAGTAACTACTTCTCTGTTTCATGGAGCCGCTTTCCCCATCACTGAAATGTCATCCTTAGTCCTAAGAAACAGGCTGGAAGGAGAAGCCAGTGATGGCCCCAGACACAGTCTTCCATCTTCCAAGGAGGAAGCTCATTCCAACTGCGTGTCGAATGCTGTGGCAACCCTTCGTGGAGGCTCACACAGCTCCAGTTCAGCAGTTACCTCCAGAAGACACCAGCGCTTGCAGCCCCCCTGGGGGAAGGGCGGTGTGAGAACGTCTTAATGCTCACATCAATCCCACGAGGTGCCTCAGTGGTTCATGTGGCTTCAAGCAGTGTGAGCGGTCAGGAGGAGGTTGTGTGGAAAATGCCACAACTAGACTGATTATATTATTTGGAGCATACAAAAGAGAAAAATCAAGAAGAGGTGGGAAAATCAGCATAAAATGAGGCTAGAACTGTGGATACATGATGCCTTGGTAGAGTCAAGGGGGGTGAGTTGGTCCAGTAAAATGACTGCACCAGCACACAGGCAAAAATTTCCTTTATTGAAGTGTTTCTGAAGCATTTGTTAGGATGGGCACTCTACTGTGTTTTCTCTCTACTTAAAATAAAAACCACCGACATAAGACAGAAACAGAACGACACTGATAACTTGGACAGCTTGAACAAAACCCTTATAACCAGCTGAATGATCTGTAGAAATCCAGTTGTGGGAACCGGCAGGTATGTGCAAAGGACAGGAGAGGCCACTATTCCAAGGGGTCATCTACAGTGTGGAAGAAAACCCTGATCACACAGTACTTCTCGATGACCTTAAGGACCCAGGGGTTGGGGAGAAAAGGGTAGTGCTCCCGCAGCTGGAAGGGCTCCCTCCTGGGCCTCATCAAATACTGGGGCTTTAGGGAGGGAGCCCTCACAGGTGGGAAGCCACTTGCGTTTTCCCAACTATCGCCCCAGGGCCTGAGAGAGTAGCAGCTGGACGTGGGGAGTGTACCAGCCACCCCGAGAGCAGCAGGATGGGGGGCGGACACAGGCGCACCCCATGGAGGAGGCCAGCACTGATCACTGGCCAGCCAGCCCTGAGGTCTGGCACATCCCCAGGGAGGGGAGCGAGGGTGCGGTGAGACAGCCGATAGCACGAGTGGGGCTGCACCTTGCCGTACCAGCTGGGCTGGAAGCCTCTGCATTCTGGAGCAGGCTGGGAGGACCCGGCTCTCCAACCACTGACATGGCTTTGCCCTTCCACAGAACAAAGCTGGTAGCACAGTGGCACATCCTAGACACAGCGAAGGCCTCACAGGAGCAGCCCTGGAGGCCTCACCTGGCACCTAGGAACGCTGTGGTGGCTTCTGTCCTGCCCAGAACCGGGGGACACCTGCTCCCTCAAAGGTGATACAAGTGGGCCATTCAAAACAGCTTTGTTTCAGCCAGGGGTGGCCAGGTGGCTCCCGTGGCATGTTCTCGTGTCCTTGAGCTCAGGACTGGGAGCAGGGAAACCCTACCAGCTCACCACCTCTGAGGAAACCAGGTAAGGAGAAAGAGAAAAGCAATCCAAAGAAGACATCCAGGAAAGGCTGTCTGAAAGGAGTGCAGACGAAGTTAGTGCCGCTTTGACCCCGGAATACAACCTGGCCTCTCCCTGCGTCACCTGGGTGTGTGGCCTGTGGTGTGGATGAGGTTACCAATATCGATGGCCTGTTGTCATGTGCTGAGAAATGTGAGATGTATTCTTTTGTTCTATATACACATATTAAAAAATAAGAGTGAGGTAGATAAATGCTTGCAAAAACAAAAACACACCCAAAAAACCAAAAACTGTCCTGTCTTACACACACACACACACACACACACACACACACTCACAACATACACGTCCTTTCCTCAGTATTTAAATTCATAATGGGGGCTTTTCAACAGTGATTAAAACTGGTATCACAAAATAAATTAAATGAAGACTCCTACATATAATACCTTCTTAATTATCCTTTTTCTTATTTTTCTCATTTAAGGGGAAATATTGTAGGACAGAGGCCATGAGGAAGTCACGAGACTGGAGCTACTGACAGGCCAAGAAGTGCCTGAGCTTCCTCCTGTGTTTAACCTCCAGTCCTAACCAGCAATAGTCATCTTTGCGCTCTGTCCTTCCTCAGAACTTAAACATTTCCATCCCAGAGGCAACTCTTGTGCTGTCATCACACTCTGGTGAGAAGTGCTAAAAACTAAGCAAAACAGGACCCCCAGGCCCACGGGCTGGGCTTCCCGCCAAGGCTCGGGCCCTTGGGAGCAGGCAGAGCTCTCGGGTGGCCCCAGCTGGCACTCTGGCCGGCAGGCCTAGGGGGGCAGGGCTCGCTGCCCAGGCCGGCCATGGGGCGGGGTCCCGCTAGGTGCTCTGCTTCCAGAGACAGGGAGGTCGGTCTAGTGAGGGTGGTGACGCAGGGTGGCAGGAGGCCTGCTAGGCCTCGATCTGACCACCCTGGGACTCGGCAGCCGTTTCCATGGGATGGAAGGATCAAATATCCGTTAAAAAAATAGTAATCCAAATGCCTAATGTCTGCAGTTAAAACTGCTGTTGTACCCAAGAATTAAAAAAATATATATATGCATGTCACAAACCAAAACAAAGGTAAGGGAAAGGAAGGTGAGACTGTGCAGGACACTGAACGAGGACATGTGCGATATTCAGCCTTTGTATTTCTGACCTGAGTTTGCACCATGTCTTGCGCTGTGACAGACTCCAGCGCTGCCTGAGGCAGCCCAGGAGAAGGGGAGCAGGGGCCAGGCCCTGGGCTGTGCCCACATCCGCCGCCTTCCCTCATCCACCTCACGCCCACAGAGCCTACAGGGTTAGAAGACAAAGAATGGGGCTGGGGACTGGGAGCAGGGTATATTTATAAAAAGGCATCAAACAGTTCATGGCAAATTATGTTCTAGAAGTATCAATTACTGGGAGAAGAGGAAGAAAAATCACACACTGTAGTACAAAGCATAAGAAGTTTCTTGGAGTGAGCAGAAAGGGAGGAAGGGTAGACCTGAAAGTTTTCATAGATTAAATCCACAAAGATAAAGAACAAAAAAAATAGCAGCTTTTTTTTTTCTGTACAGACGTATAGATGAATATCTGAACCGTAAAAAAGTTATAAAAGTGACATTAAAGACGATGTGTATGCAAATGTTTCACGGTCTAACATAGAACTGTAAGACCCATGAAGAAGTCCTAGGAACAGAGAAAATGCCAACAAAGCTAGAGGGCCGAATCCATGGCCTGTGCTGCTTCTCGCTGCCTGGGGTCTCAGGCCCTGCCCTGTACACCCACGGAAGCGGCTGGGCTGAGTCCCGTAAACCCTTCCCGTCTGTGTCCTCTGGGGGTCAGAAGGGGCCTGGGGAGACTGGCACAAGGCCCACCTGGACCGAATCCAGGCTAGCAGGTCCTCTTGCTCTGTCCCTCCAGAAACTTGGGGGCAGAGCTGAGGGGTAGGGGAGGGAAGCCCCTCAGCCTTTCCCATTTTCACGAGGGAAATCCCACTCTGTCCCATTCCCCCAAATAATAACTTAGCCACCTAAAGCAGGGAGCCTCGGATGGACCTGGAAAGCAAACTGGGGACAGTCTGATCACCAGTGCGTGTCATGTGGAGTTATAATTAGATACTGTGCTCACCCCATGCCTCTGGGCAGAAGAAAATCAGGGTGGGGTTCGTGAGGGAGAATGTTCAGGGTTTTGGCAAAATTTGGCAGCATTAAAATGGTAACCACCGTGGATAAACCATGGCCCTTTTTAAATTTTGGGTGACCTTAAAAAGGTTATAGATACAGTTAAAAAAAATCCTCCATGTGTGTGGGTGGGAGGAGAGAGAGGGAGGGGGAGAGAGGGAAGGAGGGAGGGGGGGGGGAGAGAGAGAGAGAGAGAGAGAAAGAGATTGAGATTGAGCAACCTATGGCGACAGGCAGGTGTGTACGGAGGGATACAGGGCCCCAGGGATGGCCATTTCCTCCATCTGATAAAAGGGGCTTTCCAGTGGGGCTTGCAGCAAGTACTTCCCATTATGAAGCAGAAAAAAGAAGGAAAAGGAGAGTCAGAGACAGAAAGAGACAGAGAGAGGGGAAAGAGAATGAGACGACTCAATTCTCAAGTGTTCTGTTGCTACTGAGTGTTGTCGTTAAGGTTCTCAGAGGCCCGTGTCAGTTAAGGGCTTGGGCAGGGAAATAAAAAGCTGCTTGCATACTGAGAAAAGGACCATCCCAAGGTGTTTACTGCAGAGACGCGCTCTCCTTGGGCAGCGATGCAGCTCTGAAGATCTACTGAGGTACAGGAGGCTTGTGGATAGATTGTTAAACTCTCCCTCCCCTCCCCCCCCGCCGAGTGTGCACACACGTTACTGTTTGCACGGATGCGGGATCCAGGATCAGCAGGTTGAAGACTGGGGCAGCGGCAAGGCCCTCTCATTTGTGCGGCCTCCATTCATGTGTGCGTAAGGCTGTCTCTCGTCGAAGCTGGCACGCAGGACCAGCACTCCTGGGCCTGGGCCGTTTTCGGCCTTGTGTCCTGAGTGTCTGTCGGGCAGCGGCAGGGAGGAGGAGGAGGCTGAAGGGTCCAGGGGGACGCTCTCCATGTTCTCGGGCTCCAGGTCCAGCTCCTCCGGCTCAGGTGGCTTGTTCTCCTCGCTGTAGTAGAAGGACACCTCCCGGAAGCCCGGCTCCATCTCGTCTTTGATGCTGCTGATGATCTCCAGGAAGGAAGGCCTCATCTTGGGGTTGTACTGCCAGCACATGCGCATCAGCTCGAACCTGCGGGGAAGACCGGGGAAGACAGAATTGCTCTGGTGCCTCGCGGAGCAGGACCCAGCCCCTACCATGGTACAAACCCCTAGAACTTCACTTCCTGAGAAGGACCAAGCTCAGTTCACACAGAGCCTGCGATGGCAGGGCTCGTCTACAGGGACAGTGCTAAGCACTTCTATAAAGCAGCAGCTGCTAGCTGAAGCATCTCCTGTGGCCACTGTGAAGTTTCCAGAAGGAGGCATGGTGCTGCTGCTCCACACTAGCAAGGCTGGAAAGTGGTCACTGCCTCCCCTCCTCCTGGGACAGGAACACAATGGCAGAAGCTCTGAGTTAGAAGGTGGCAGGGCTGCCACACCCAAGGAACACACACTCCACTGGGCATCTTAATCCAGGCCCTGGCTGCAGAGTCCTGATGGAGACCTATAGCCAGAACCCAACAAACCCACCAGGAGGTCCCTGGGCACCCATCCAAGCAACAGGCAGGGAGGAGAGCATGAAGGCGTGTCGCCCTCAGTCTTATCCCAGCTGGGCCACCACACCCAGAATCCCTCGAGTCCCATGGGCCACAGGTTGTCTTCTCAGCCACAGTCGAGGGCTTTGACCAATGTGCTGAACCCAGGGATCCTAGGAGCAAGGAAGAAGGCCTAGCAGTGAGTGGTGGGATGAGGAACAACGCAAGGTAGCTGTGGTACTGACAGGGTTGGCCAGTGGTTCTCGAACATGAGCAGGTGACCCAGCGCCTTCCTTTCTCTGTTCTAACTGGAAAGTAACACCTTTTGTTTTCTTTTAAAACTTCTGGTATAGAAACACTGTCCAATAAAAATGACCTAATGGAACTCCCATCCCAAATAGACACTTAGGCTTCTGTCAGGCCGATCATGTGGCCAAGAGACCTACCTACACCTGGCTCCTGGAGCACTCTGAGGGAAACCCCGCTCTCGCCCTACTCCATTAGTGTGGAAGCTGCTGGCCTAGAGGCAGGCTCCCTGACCACTCAGCTAGCTTCCTTCAGAAGCCTTGGGCTGGGCTGGGTCAGTGCAGGAGCTGGGCAGTAGCGACCTGGTGGAGGCTGAGACCAGGCAAGAGAGAAACCCATCCCAAATTCCCCATTGGCAACAGTGCCGCTGGTGTAGTGGTATCATGCAGGATTCCCAAATTCCCCATTGGGAGGCCGGATGTTCAGCAGATTACAGGTGGGCCAAGTGCTGCTGGTGGCCACTGGTTTCCATGTGACGTGTGGCTGCCTCCTGGGTGGCTAGAATCAAGTCGTTCAGTCTGCAAGCATACAATACTTATTGTCTGGCCCTCTACAAAAAAAGGTGGCTGCCCTGATGTACAAGATAGAGAATGGGGCAAGAGAAGAAGACAGACTGCTCTCCCTTCTGAGTCCAGCCAGACACAGTGCTGACTGCGAGGGTGTGGGACACTGCTCATCCTCTTGAGTCTGTAAAGGAGGGCTGCTGACTGCAGACCTTACACCCCATCAATAAGTGAAACAGAAGAACATCAACAGACTGCATTATCTGCCCAGGCCAATGGGGTGGAGTGGCCAAGGGCAACCTGGTCCCCTTAGGAGACACCCCTGGCCTCTGCCAGACACATGGAGGAAGGCTATTTGCACTGAGAATCTGGTATCTACTGCACTGCCCCCACTTCTGGTCTGGGGGCACACAGGCCTGCCTCCCTGTTCCCCATCCTTTTCCCTCAGAAAAGACGGAATTTTTTTAAAAAATTAATTAAAACAGGCCATAGATACAAGGAGTGCATCTTGACTGCAGGGCTGTTATTTCCTCTCTGGCTGTGTTACCCCTGAATAGAAGTTCAGCCGGCCAGAACATGAGCTGTGTCTGGCTCGGTGCCCTGCTGCTGGGGGCTTGGAGGTGGCACCAGGAGGGCAGCAGTGTGGTGACATCAGCACAAACAAGCCATGTGACAGTGCTTTTAAATCATTCCCGCATCACAGCCCTTCCAGGGCTGCCCATAAAAGGAAGTCTTCTTTATTCCGTGGGAATAAGGACTTTGTTTACACTTCTTCCACAAGAAAGCTCTCCAGGAGACTCTAGGAGGATTTATGAGCTGATAAGTCTTCTTTAAAAAACACTTCTAAAAAAACCACTGGTCAGCCCTATGGAGTCCTGAGCTGTCCCCACTGAACGCTCCTCTCCCAGGGCCCCAGGGAACGCCTGCCCCGCTGGGAAGCAGCTTCCCAGAGCAAACAGGCCCCCAGAGCTGCACGGCTGCGGCCTGGGCCTGTGTACACACAGGGCCTCCAGATTCCTGCTGCCCTCCTCTTTACCCTTGACCCCCACACCCGCAACAGACAGGCTGCAATCTGGTGGAAGTCAGCCAGCAAGATGCTCTAGGCAGCTCAGGACCGAGAGAACTCCTGATGCAGGGCGCTGGTACAGCCTTGGCACGGCACCGACTCTCACCAGAGGGACCACATTCCAGAGAGGTCCTGTGGCTCAGTTTGCGTCCTCTGGGCAGTCCACACTGCGAGGCCGGCTTGGGAGTCGCTTCTCACCCAGGACCTGCAGCAGGCAGCTGTGGCTCCCTGGAGATGTGGCCAACCCTTTGCCAGGCTCACCAGACAGGAGCAGCCATTCCTATTTGGACTCAGGTATCCGGCTCCTGCAAGTGCGGCGCCGGCTTCTGAGCAATGAGGGGCCTTAATGAGCAGAAGGAACACCTAAGTTAGAAAACTGCCCAACAGCTTCTGCTGCATGTGCATAGCTGGGCTAAGGCTCTTCCCTGATGCCTGAATACCGAAGACCTGACATAGGGCCACGGAAACCATGTGACAAAGGGCTTCTTCACTGAGGTCTCCTCATCCCTCAGCATGAGGGCTGCGGCCTCCATGAAGAGTCACTTCACGAAACCCAGGGGTCCTCCTTCCTCCTGCTTGTGCCTCCAGCAGCCAGCGTGTACCCAGAAGGTTCAATGGCATGTGTAGCTTGAGTTCTGAGTGCCCTGGAATCGAGGATGGGCTTTGTCTTCCATTTAAAACATGAGTACCCCAGAGGACCACAAATGGAACCGTGGCCTTGGGGCTCACAGACCTGAACACCGCAGGGGTCTCAGACTGTGCAGTCTTTCCTCAACCTCTGAATACTTGGAGGGATGGGGAGTTGGCTTTGGCATTGCCGAAGAGCTGAAGGGTCTTCCTGGGGCTGCACTGAAGTACACCAGGGGCTACCACATCACCACGGTGACCCCTAGAAACACACACACACACACACACACACACACACACACACACACAGTGGAAGCACTTTCTCTCCCACAGAGTTCTTCAAGGGTCCAGGGAAGGTTCAAGGCCTTTAGGGACTCTCCTTGGGGGTAAACAGTTCATTCTTTCATTTCTTGCAACAAAAGAACCCCTCTCTGAGAGCACTCTCCTCCCCAGGCTCCTCAGCAAGTTCAAAAGGACAGCATGGACACTCCCTAACGAACCAGCACGCTGCCCTCCAGTTCTGTTCTTAGAAGGGAGGCAGATTTGCCAAGAGGGTTCTGGATGGCAAAGCAGAAAAGCCTTCTGAATTAAACATTTCACACTCAGAAGTAACCTTTCTGTGTAAACTTCCTCATCACCCCGCGCTGGGAACAGGAAGTCCGCTGCCTTTCCCACGGCAGGTGGGCTGCTTCCCAGGCGTATTAAACTAATACTCAAACTCCAGTCATCTGGAGGTGGATCAACTTCAAGAATCCCACAAGTTTCCCAGAGATAAACCTTTACCGAAGTCAAAGAGAAAACATAAAAACAATACTTCTCCTGTGACAGGCCCCAAACCACAGGAACAAAACTCACACCTGCTCTCTTAGACTATTGCTAAGCTTGCTACACACCACTGAGCTGAGTGTTCAAATCTAGTCTGGCACTGTGCACCTTTATGCAACTTCAGTGGATACGAATGTCCATATTCTGTTGTGTTCTGGTTCTATAGGAGGCTGTTTCTTAGAAATGGGTTGTACCAGTACAGCAGCCATGCTGTCCCACGAGCAGCGCAGCAGGTCACCTGTGAGGGACACTGCAGGGGTGGGGAGTGGGAGCAGCCCGCTACAGCCCCTGGAGTTTCTCGAGCTCATCCTCTCCAGTATCGTGTGACCACCCACTGCGGTGTCCACTCTGCTGTGGATCATGGGTGGGGTGAGGCAGAGCGAGTAGGTAGTCTCCAGGCCCATGGGTGCAATCCGGCTTGCTGCCTGCCTGATTTCGTAGGACTTCTGACCTAAGAGTCGCTTTCACATTTGTAAATAATTAGGGGGAAAAAAATCAAAATGAATAGTGACAACAAGCAATTATGCAAAATTCAAATTTTAGCACTCAAAAATAGAAGTTTCCTGGAGCACAGCCCCACTTGCTCATGTGACGTCCATGGTGGCTTCTTCACCACAGCTGCAGAGTGGAGTACTGCCATTGGCCTGGAGAGGTGCAGACAGCCACAAAACGGTTCCTAGCTGGCCTTGCAGAGTCCACCAAGTCCGACCCCAGGGCAAGCCAGCTGTGTGTCAGGAGGACACTCCAGCAGCATGATGGGGACTCCATACAGGACCGGGCCCCACATGGTACTCAGGCAAATCCATGGCTGGGAAGTGATCTGACACCCCAGGCAAGCTTTCAGATGGCTAGAACGTACCCTCCTGGGGTTGCGGAGGCAGTCTAAGAGCCACTACCCCTGCTTCCAGGGACCTTGTGACAAAGTAAGTGCTCGCTAGTATTTCTGACTCTTAAGTTTTGGGTACGGATGGGGTAGAGGGTGTTTCTGTGCCAGGCAAGAAAATCCTGAGTGGCTTTCAGGGACACTTTCACCTCTGGGCTACAGAGCCCCAAAGACTGTACTGGGAGGTCTCTTTCTGAGGGACACAGGAGACCGAGCTTTGCTCACCAGTGGCTTTACCTCCAGGCCCAGCCCTGTGCCCACTGTCTGCTGATACAACACCACTTTCTGGTTCTCAGGCTGGGGAGTCTAAGCTGGCCCCCAAATCCCTGTTCTTAGTGTGAAGTGCAGGAGGGCCTTGTGAATGAGATGCACTATTTCACGCCTTTAATTAAGCTTCTAATCAGGTGGCTGAACTGCTCAAAAGGGAACAACCCTGGAAGGGCCCCATCTAACCAGGCATGAACTGGCAGAGGCGCTAGTCTCTGCTGGTCCTGAAGAAGTAAGCTGCTGTGTCCCGAGGCCGGAGGGGCCGGCATGTGGCCTCAGGCAACACTGGGTGCTCAGGACATGCACGGCCCCCAGCAGGCCAGCAGCAGGAACACAGGGTTCTCAGCCCGAGGTCTGCAAGCAGCTCACCCCTGCCAGCTACCGGAGGAGCTTCAGGTGGGCCTGCAGCCTGGCCTCCTTCGCAGCAGCCTGTTGAGACCGCATCCCAATAGAGACCAGCTGAGCAAGCTCTCCATACCCGCTGGACCCACACCCTAGTGGCTGTTGGACGCCTGAGTCTCACCCTTCCCTGTGCATCACCCTACCATGGAGGCCTGAAGTTTGGATGCTGAGGGGCCCCCAGAGGCCCATGTAGTCTCAGCGTAGCTCTCACGCTGATGAGGTCTTCAGGTCACTGGAGGCGTGCCTTTGAGGGGCTGGCGGGGATCTAGGCCCTCCTCCTTCATTATTATACTTCCCAGCTATGAAGATAGCAGTTGTCCTTAGCCACACACTTACATCGCAATGTGTTGCCTCACCATAGGCTGGAAGCAATGGAGCTAGGGAGCCATGGGCTGGGGCTTCCAAGATGGCGAGCCCAAATAACCTTCACTCTGTCTGTCAATTGGCAAGTGTTAAAAGTGCTGGAGAAGTTGACTAATGCAGGGGCCTTTTCCTCAAGGCATGCTGGCTAGTGAGTCCAAGGAGAATTGTGAACACTCATTAGCCAACAAATCCCAGTAATGCTGAAGCCCTTCTTTCCAAAGAAGTGGCGTAAGGAGACAAATTCATCAGTACCCAAAGCAGGGTGTTCCTGGAGCTGTGTCCCTAGTGGGGTCGGCTGATCTACACTGCTTAGGGGGCGATGCTTAAGATGTCTGTGACAAAACAGAGAGGAAACCTGGGCTGGAAGTGATGCCAACCAATGTAGTGGCTTTATGAGGTCCACACATGAATTCTTAGCATAAAACTTTGTGGACACAGGCATGGCATCCTCAGCCTTGGCAAAGGCTGGGGAGAGGCTCTTGAATCTGACCTAAGAGTAGTAAGCACTGCTTTACTGTCTTCCTGTTTCTTAAGCCTTGCACAGAAAGGAAGCACAAGGACTGCTTTGGTCAAACAGTGCCGGGAGACATTGAGCCTGAGAAACCACAGTACAAACTGCAAGTCAGAACTAAAAGATTAAGGAACAGGGGAGTGGAATCAAGGGCCAGGAGAAGGCACAGGCCACACACGGGCTCCTCACTCGAGGACCAACAAACCCTCTTTTAATCACATTTCTGCTTTCATAGGACTAGAAAGCATGGTTCTCAGAATTCCTAATCTTACATGACCCAGGAAAAGTTATTCAAGGAAAGAAACCAAAGAGCTGAGGGGGGCCAGGAAATACATACAGCATATCCGGGCAATTGTCAGGCTTGTCCAGAAGGCCGCCCTCCATGACGAAGCGCAGAACTTGCTCGTTGGACAAGCCCTGGTATGGTTGCTCAGCCAGCGTGGCGATCTCCCAAAGGACAACCCCGAAGGACCTACGGCGAGAAGAGAAGATGAGTGTCTCTGACAGGGATGGGAATGATGCTCCTTCCCCTGGCACTTCCTCATCCCTGAGCACTGAGAAACTGTCCTTGCTGTCTGACAGAGGGTGGGCCAGGCACTGGACTAAGTGTGGGCCATCTGTCCTCTATCACCACTAATGTTCTCTGCACAATCACAATAGCTCTGGGGGCAGAGCAGAGGAAGCTGCCACTGGCAGATTCAGTGGCCGCCGAATGGATCAGAAGCACCTGACTGAGGTCACGCATCTTCAGGGCCAGATATAGCCACTTATGGGAGTAGACTGGTGCTTCCCAAATTTGCCTTAGCCCAAGAAATAAAATATGCAAGACCCCCACCCCCGCCTGGATACTAATTTGGAATAGTCAAACAGCTTAATGAACTCTCAGCTGCTTCTTCTCATCAGATAGTTTGGAGGCCTCTATTTCCAAGTGATCCTCAATATTCACTGCCGGAGAATCACCCAGAAAATCTGTTAAGAACAGATTGATGCCTGGGGCCCCAACAGAAGCTCTGATTTGATGGGTATGGGTGGAGGCCCAGGCCTGGGCATATTTAAAGCCTCTACAAGGGTCCTGAGGGACATTCAGACCATGAGAAAAGAAACCCCTGCCTCAGAAAGGCTGTTGGCCTGAAGGCCTCTGTCACAGGCCTGGAGCCCAGGGAGGGCTACCCTAGCCATAGGACCCCCCACTGACAGGGTCCTTTCCCACAGAGGCTGGCTGAGGCATAAATTCAGCAGGCAGCACAAGGAGCCATTCTGCCATGCACTAAGTTTTATCTGTGAGTTCAGAAGAGAAAATTAAAACAGATACATAGAATCTTTAGATAGCTAAAACTAAAAAACCCATCATGTTATAATCTGCAAAATAAATGTGCCTCCCACAGCGAATCCCACTGTCGACAAATCCACTCTGGTCTATCTGCCTTCACACTGAGTCACTTCAGTCAGCCTGCAAGGCTTCTGATGGGCCTGCCCCAGGCTTAGGGTGTCGGCCAAGCCCCATGGAAAAACAGGCAGGGTATTTCCCACTGCAAGCTCAGGGGATCGGGCCCTGTGGCGGGGCTGCGGGGGGCGGAGCTGGGGTGCTCTGATTCTGCATTGGAATGTTCTGTTGGCTGCTTTAATTCCTCTCCATGAACAATACGGTTTTTGTACAGATTGATACTAAAAGCAGATGTTAGACAGAAATAGGATCTTAGCAATCAGAGGCCTGACCAACCCGTGGTCTTTTCTAACTGCCAGTACCCAAGAAATAGCCTTCACGCTGCTCAAGAGACCCAGAAAAGCCAAAGATCCAGAGAACAGAGCACGGACTGAAAAGACCCAGGCTGCCATGGAGGGATTTCCGTCAGCATTTATGGGGCTCACGCCCGGGGCCATGCCTCGGCCCAGCTTTGCATCTGTACTCTCGCCCCCGTGAAAAATGCTGAGCTTGCTGTCTCTGCCAATTGCAGACTGGCCTGAGACTCATCTGATAACTTGGTTCCCACTTCTTCTGCCTCACCTGTTCTCTCCTGCCCTGTTTTAGGGATCCAGGTCTCTGTGGTCAGCTTCCCCTTGGACCCTTGCCACCCACAGAGCTCCACTCCAAGTTCCCAGCTCCTTGGCTCTACACCTGTCCTGAGCAGAACTTCCTTGCCCTGTTCTTCTTCTGGCCTCCACTGATGCTCTTGGCTCCACAAGCTCCCACCACAGCTTGCCAACGGGGCTCAGGACTGGCCAATAGTCTGGTCCCAACATTTACTTCCTGGGCGGTCCTCTGGGCTCAGCCTACCATGCGCCTCATTTTTTGGCTTCAGCACTTAATGCAGGATAACCCTACATCTAGTTAATGCAAAGTTCTTACACCAAAGCTCCAGGCCACACTCTTAGTCACAATTCCTGGCATAGCCAGCACACTCAGTCCTGAATCCCTAACAATGTCTGGAGGTTTACATGATCTCTCAACCTAACTCCCTGAAAAAGCCCCATCATTCTCATCTGCAACAAGCGCTGCCCTCACACCTGCCCTAAGCACACCCACTGCCCCGAGCAGTGACAATCCCTACTTTATTATGTTTCCAGGACTTCATCTTGTCTATGAAGACTTCTATGACTCCCAATGTGCCAGGCTACTTCTTGTTCCCAAAACTTTATCCTTGAAGGACAGGGATGGTGCTTCCTGTCATCCTTGCTACTATCATTCTGAGGTCCTCCTAATCATAAGCACATGCATGAAATAGTATAGGAGACAACACAGCTGGCTTTCCACAGGTGCTTGTCATGTCTTACTGCAAAAGCTCTTCTCTAAGCAACTCTCAGCCCGTATCACCTGCCACTGAGAGGTACTTCATGCTTTAGTCTATGGTCACCTTTCTAGGGCTGCTCCAGGTGACAACTGAGTCCCGTTAAAACGTCTCTGCTCCAATGTACAGGGGCTGTGTCATTTCTACCCAACACCAGCCATCACGAGAGCCATTTGAACACCTGTCAAGGTACCACAGTGGAGCTTGGAACATGGACAGCAAGCAATGGCCTGTGACCAAGGCCATACAGCCAGAAGCACTCGGATCTAGGCAATAGCCTTGTGCTTTCCAAAGCAGGTGTGTTACTATGTGCTACTGCTGCCAAGGCCTTCACGGAAGTCTTGCACTTTGTGTGCACAGATTTCATCTTTGAGCAGCGGAGAAGTGTGTCCATGAAAATTCCCTCAGAATGAGGATCATGTTGTCTTCACAGGGGACAGACCCTGGGTGTGTGGCTGGGGCTGGCATTCAGTACCTGGACTGCCCCACATGAGGAAGGCAGCATGTCAATGTCCCAGGTTCCAGCAAACTCATACCCCTAAGAAGCTCTCATTTCCCACGGATGGACATTAGCTGCTGAATAAGCAAACATTCTTGGATATTCATGACTGTGTGGAAATTTTCTTGGTAAGCCAAGCAGTGGAGACTGCTTGGAAGGTGATCTAGAGAGGTGGGGTCCCACTCCCTAGTATCCTGATGGGTTTGCTCCATGACTGGGGCACACTGTGACCTCTGATCCCCAGGGCCATCTGAGAGGGGTGTGAGAGGAGCAGCTAAAGCATCCAAGGGCCTAGGAACAAAGTCTCAGGTGACAGCAGGAACCTGGGTGTTCTGACAGCTCCTCAGCTTGTCTGATCAGGAATGAGCAAGGTGCGAGGCTGTGCAGGAGCCTGTGTCGGGAGAATGAAACACAGCTTCAAGCAATGACCCAGGGCAGGGAGGTGGCTCAGCGAAGCTCAGCCCCGGCCTGATCCTGATCTTGGGGGCCTCCTGACCTCAGATACTTGGATCTCTTGCAGAGTCAAAGGAAAGCCTTTGTATTTTTTCTCTAGACTTTCAAAATGGAGGAATGATTATTTTGGGTTGGTGACTACAATCAGACATGCTTTCCATCATCTTTAGAGCAGCTCCAGGTTAGAGTCCAAAGTTACAGACACCACCTATATGTTCCACTGTCATAGGCTTCTTCAATTAACCTCAAACGCTGGGTTCAAAAACAAAGTGAACTTTGGCAGTAACAATACACAATGTACTAACCATTGTTACTCTCCTAAAGTCTTGTTTTGAGATTTTGTAAATTGTTTTTATTTTTTTTCTTTAAAATAAAATAACTGATGTCAAAAAAAAAAAACCAAAGTGAAACAAAATCAGAAAAAGTATTCGGTGCTGTGCCACATGATTATAATCCCAACTTTCTGGGAGGCTGAGGCAGGAGGATTATAAATTGAGCCCAACCTGGGTAATTTAGTGAGCACTGTTTCAAAAATTTTAAAAGGGCTGGGAATATAGCTTACAAAGACCCTGGACTACCTTCCTAGTTCCACACACACTCACACACACACACACACACTGAAAGCACTATACCTGCCTGGATAGCTAATGCAATGACCCAAACGCCTACTCTCCTACATATTTTTCCTTATTGGTTCATTGTGGTCACTCAGTCAAAGGGAAGGAAATGAGCACAGAACACCCTGCTGCCGCTCCAGCAATGGCAGCTAACCAGAATCTGTGGAGAACCAGCCTATGAGATGTTCACAACTCCACCTTTATCTTCCCACCCAGCTTGTTTGCTCATCCTATAAGCTAACCTTGGAGCTCCTAGAGGCATAAAGCCCAAAACAGTGGTGGTGAACCTATGGCACATGTGCCACCAGGGCTGTCTGTTATCACTGAAAGCTCTAAAAGGTTCACCACCCTGGCCTAGAATAAATGGATGGATGCTAGAACGCAGGTACGTCCTTTCCGACACCTCAGTCTAAAAATGGTGCAGAGCACTCTGATTTGAAAACCGATCAGAACAGATCTGATCCTTGGGCTCCGCAAGGGATCAGGCTTTATTGGGTCATATTCAAATGCTATTTCCAATTCGCACCTGTCTTCAAAATCAGATCCAAGGCCCTTGACTGTGAAAGGTTCATAAGGCTAAAAAATGACGTTGGTCACTATTGAAATAGTTCCTCTATGCGGTCATCCAGAGAGCTGGAGTAAACAACTACCTTTTCTGTAACACAAGAGCAACGGGATCTCCTGAGACGAAAGCCAAGATACTTGCTGACATTCTAGAAGGTGAATGTGCCAGGGCTTTTGCCTGCCAACAGCCTCCGTTGTATTTCAGACCTGACTGCCTCTGCACAGTGTTTCCAAGAAACTGCAATAAACAACCCCATAGGAAAGTCTCTGCACCACGGCTGGCCAAGGAGCTTCCAAAGACACTGTTATTCCTAAGGGAGGTATTTGCTTTGCATACCTGTCCGGGGGGCCACTACCATGCAATGCCCACTGGGAGCGCACAGACAGCAGGTGGGACCAACAGGAAACAATCAAGGCCCAAATAGCTTTGCCTCTAAATAAAGCAATGACTGCAATGCAAAAGCTCAAGGGGTAAAGCCGGCATGCATGCGCACAGTGCTGATTTACTGAAAAGGAGGAAGACGGTGCTGGCCAGCAAGGGAGAAGCAAAGAGGGGGCAGGCTCTTGTATGTTCTTCAGCTCCCTAGAGCATAGCTGTTATCTGCTCAAGAAAGCAGAGATGTTGGTCCCACCAACTGCTTGGACTTTCGTAAGTACCCTTTGTCCTCAGCTAGCTTGTGGACCACAGGGACATCTTAAAGACGAAGGAGTGCGGCTCCTGCATTGCTGGCAATGGGTAACAATAAACAGAGACAAGGAAGAGAGACAGTGCTTGGGCTAGACCCAGGAGGGGCCTAGGCTGCTTTTGCAGGAGAAGACTCGCATACCAGACGTCTGAATGAGTGGTGAAGACTCCATCCTTGAGGGACTCGGGAGACATCCAGCGGACAGGAAGAAGCCCTTTCCCTCCTTTCCGGTAGTAGTCTGTCTCATAGATATCTCGAGTCATCCCAAAATCTGGAAGGTACAGAGAAGATACGCAATTATATCCACTGTTGGGGCAGCTCTGGGGCAAAGGTTCCACTCACTGCTGCCACCACGGAGCCCTTTACCACCTCCATATTCAATGTGAGACGCAAGCTTGCTTCATGTCGAGAAGGTCAACGTTAGGGTTTACCACTTAGAAGGCAGAGATGTGACACATTTGTCACATGACACGTGAACAGTAATAAATCTCTGCTCTTAAAACATTTGTAATCTGGTTCTTTCAAAAAGCTAATTCCCTTCTGGCATTGAAAAAGTGAGGTGGTCTTCAAGTTAGTGAGGGGCATGATTATCAAGGTAGTAAGTACTACGCAGGTAAGTATCAGCGTCGTGTGGTTTTAAACCCTGATCAAAGCTGAGCATGGTGGTGCACGCCTGCCAGCCCAGCCACTCTGCAGGCTCTGGGGGGAGGATCGCAAGTTGGAGGTCAGCCTGGGTAACTCAGTGAGGCCTTGTCCCAAGATAAAGGTGCAAAGGACTGGGCAGCTGAGCAGCATGGCACCAGTCTAGTATGCACAGGGCCCTGGCCGAACCCTCGGCGCCTCCAGAAGAACCAGATCAAAACCCAAACAAGCCGCCGGATCAGATGGACAGGAAACTGGAGGCTCTCACTCACTCGGCAGCCTGGCCCTCTGCCAGCGGAAAGTAAGAAATTTCATTGCTTAATAAAGTGGGAAAATGGGCTGGTGAGATGGCTCCGTGGTCTAAAGCACCTACTTAGAACAAGCTTAGCAAAGCACAGGGACCGTGGTTCAATCCCCCAGCACCACATGCTAGCCAGTCCCGCCCCCTGGTGGGCTGAGCTGGCCACACACACACACACACACACACACACACAATAAATAAAAAAAAAAATTAAAAAAAAAATAAAGCGGGAAAATATTCAGAGCAACAGAGGTGAAAAAGGGCAACTCTAAGACGCTCAGAGATGGTACTGACTAGGCCCCCGGAGCTGCCCCACAACACCGGCCTGCAACATAATATCACACTCATTCTTGAACATTTCTTCCATTTTCGATGTCTCTAGAAGATGTCACATAATTAGGTTTGATGGCAGGCTTGCTTTATAATCCTAAATTACAGGCTCTTTGTCGAATTTGATTTTCCTCTCAATCACGAACCTTTCTTCACAGGACTCTCGATTCTCCCTCCTGGGAGAGAGGGCTGCTCTATCTTTGAAAATGTCCATTTGTGTCTCTAACTCCTCCATAAACAGGTGAGGCCACAGAGCAAACGCAGAGCACTGGACGCAGACGGAAACCAGCACTTAGGACGCTAAGGGCCATCAAGCTGCCTCCAGTGAAATCACACCAGGTCTACAACCCGTGAGGCTCTGGGCACCAGGAAGGCACCGCTGAACCCTTGTGAAGCATCAAAATGAAGCCCTAATGCCTCATCTCTCAATTACTGCAAATAACTTATTTGCGGTAATTCAGAGCTCCGCAAATAAGAGAGGATTTGCCTTAATGGTTAAAAAATAGAAAAGAAGAAATTTCAGAGAAGAACTCTCTTTTTCTTAAATATGCACACACAAACTTTATTTCTAGGAAGAGAAACCACCATTATAAAGAAAGCATCCCTATACACAGATATCATCTTTGCTGATAAGGATTAAAAATGGTAAGTGGTATCTCGTTCCAGGCATAGCCAGGTGGAATAAGAGGAGCTGTAATGTAGTGTCCCTGTGCACCAGGAAGGGAGTGGAGGACAGCACTGCTGACACCTGCCCCACGTGCGCACGGGCTTGCTTCCTTCTCACATCCAGCTCTTGCCACACTCTCCTGGGGTTTGTCCTGCATTTCTGAAGTGGAGAAACTGAGGCTCACAGGAAAGAAGACACCTGCACCAGCCTGCTCCTCCATGAAAGCATGACTGGGACTGAAGGTAGGCCTACTGGGCACTCCCTTGCACGGAGGAGTAGCTACAACAGGAACTCCCACAGGGAAGCGAAGAAGGGGAGGGGACAAAAGCAAATCCAACTGGAAAGAAGACTGGCCGGGGCGAGTTCTGGGGCAGGACAGCTGTGTGGCCCTCTCTGCCTCTCTGAGGGGTTGGCTACCATGAAGGGCTCGGCCCAGGAGGATGCTGGGAGTGCTGGGCGAGTAACCACGCCTGTGCCTCCATTCTGGCACACAGCTGCACCCCAGCGCCTCCTGCACCTACACATAACGCAGAGGAAAGATGTGCCCTCCCTTTGAACTTGCTTTAGGCAGGTACTTGCAGCTAAGGGGCCAAAAATTTCATTTAAAAAAAAATTACTGATAAAGGGAATACAAGTACTGCTAAAGGCAGGAGAACACTGTCAGAGCAAAGGGCTCAAGAGCCAGCCAAAGAGGTCAGCTGCAAGTAGCTTTCTTCGCATGCTGTCTCCTCTGCAGTTTCTTGTGGCATTTTTCTGAAATACTACCCTAGCTTAGTGGAAGATAAAAGCAGGTGGTTTCCTCAGCAATCCCAGCACTGTATGTGTTTTTGTTGGGTACATTAAAAGTCCACAGCAAAAACACCAACTGCAAGGCTGAAGAAAGTTTCTAAGCAACGATCACAAAAACTCAGGCTAACTCTTGTTTTTGATGCTGCAGTAGTTGGTGGCAACCTGGGGTCTAACTGGTAGGCTTGAAGGTAAGATCACCAGCCCTGGGTGTGAGACCCATTCAGCGTGGTCTTCCTGCCCTAAGGGGCTCCCATGTCTGTCCTCATCACAGGTCCTGCTCTGTGATAAGCGTCACTGTCAGAGCATTTCATGTCTTTGGAAACCCTGGGAACCTCTGTGGGCAAGTATTCTTTGCACACAATGAGAACACAGAAGGTTAGATAGTGACTTCTCAATCCAAACCCAGTGGAGGATACTGTCTCAATGATTTCAGTGAAGGATACTAAGAAGTGTTCCACCTGGGTGACCTCAGGGCCATGGCCACCACCTGGACCACTGTGTCTGTGCACTCCACATAAATTTGTGACTGACAAGCAACCAGAGACGATCACAATGATTTCAAGCATCTGTATGCAAGAGACATGCTGGGACCACTCCAGCAGGACATTAATGTTCAGAAGGCCCCTAAGCACCTACAGGTTTAGCGCTGTCTTAAGCAAAGGACACACCTCCAATTTTGACCGTGAAATCCTCAGCCACCATGCAGTTCCGGGCAGCAAGGTCTCTGTGGACAAACTTGTTGGCGTTGAGGTATGCCATGCCGTCTGCAATCTCTCCGGCCATCTGGATCATCTTGCTCAGGCTTGGAGGTGCTAGGACTGGGTTTTTCTGTTGGAGATTTAAAAAGCAAAAATCACAAGAGAAATTTTAGGACTTTTATGACCTTGAGTTCCTTTAGGGTTTACAAATCCAGCTTTATTCAGCCTGAGCACCACAGCTCACTCCGCTAAGAAACCTGGATCTGCTCACAAGGAATGCATTACAATGGGGGCCACAGCCTGTACTTGGTGGGAAAGTCGTGTGCCTGCCTCTGACTATGTCACCCAGGGTGACACCAGTAGACATGACTGGGGTCCCGCATTCTCTGTTCTGGAGAGGGCAAATAATTTACATTAAACTTTAAAAAAAATTTAGAAAACTGTAAAAGAAACAAACCAATTGTAGATATTAAGGGTGCTCAGGCATGCAGATCCCTATTAGTTCTTGTGTTCTTCAGAGTTCCTAGTCAAAGCAGAGGTATAAGACGACAAGCTCATTGTAAAAAGGCTGTGTGGAGTTACTCAAATCCCCTGCACGCTGGTGTCCTCAGGTGAGCACCATCGGGACCTATTTAATCTCCTCCTCCTCCTGCTGTCTCCTAATGTACACAGGTACTAGGAGCGATTTCTTCACCGGGATCAACATTTTCCATGGGCACTGAGGACACCTGGAGCCCCACTGAGGCTCACTGTGCGGGCCAGCACAGAGCAGCTCCCAAGCATCCTCTCCTCCCAGGGGGCAGCACGCTGGCTTTGGAGCAGAGAATAGTAAGCCCTAAACAATAACAAAGCCACCTGGGAAAAGGACTTACATGAATATATGCTCAAGCCTCTCCATTCTGAAAAGGAAGGCAAAGACCAAACAGGACCTCACTGTTCCGATGCTCACCAGCTTTTGTCAGTAGCCGTATCACAGAATTTTTCATGGATTTCCTGACTGCTAAGCACCTCATACATTGCTGCAAACCATCTACCTCTGATAGCGCCTACTCAGAGCCTTCCTGGCTCAGGCTCAGAGCATGGGAAGAACATGAAAAAGATTGGGTGCCAGGCTGCTGGAACTCTGCCACAGGCTCTTCACGGACCCACTACTGGAAGGACAACGTGGGAGCTGGCCTGTAACCAGGCGCAACGGTGGCTGTCTCCTGCTCACAGAGGGGCTAAGACTCCACGGAAAGCCACTGTCTAGAAGCAGCCTAACACCCTCTGAGCACTTTTGGGTTGGCTCTCCACGTCCCATGACACACACTGCTGACTTCCAAAGAGGTCATCACGGCCGTCTCTGGTGACTTACAGTACAGGTAGCTGGGTCAGCAACACCATGGCTGCAGGGGAGCCAAAGTCGCCACTGCTTTCCACAGTGTTCAGATCTGCTCTGTCCCCTAGAACTCAACACGCCTTTTACCACATTCAGGGCTTTAAATATCCATGGTAAACTAGGAAATGTTCTGGAGAAGTGTAAAGTGTAAGCTCACAACAACTCAAGTACAAGAGCATGAAATATAGGTGTTTACGAGGAAGTTGTAAACAGAAGCAACAAGAGGAACTTCAACTTAAGCGGTGAGAGAGAGGGCCGATGTTTTGTTAATTTATGGCATTATGCTGTTGTTCTTTCACTCAATTTAAGAGAGCACAATTCTTTCACTGGGCTAGAGCTCCATAAGTCATGTATACACACGCACTTACACCAACAAGAACTTCAGCAAATCTTAGCTGAAGTGAGGCACACAGACTACAATGCAACCACAAGACATACACATAATTTTTTATACTTGACATGAACTAGAAACATTTAATGAATTAGAAAAATTTAAATCTGACGTATCTATAGGTGAATTTTAAGTGTAGGGACTTCACTTGCCCACACCACTGCACAGGAGGGGCTGAGGTCCAGGAACCTCGTGGCTGTGGGAGGTACGTGGGGCCACAGCAAAACAGCACTAAGGTGCCACATTTTGATTCTTTCTTTTAAATTCTGTGCCTGAACTGGGAATAAAGAGAACAAGTGCTTCCCCACCTTGAGGCAGCTGATAAGCACTCTGCCACACCTTTGGTCACTGGTTTGATCACGCTTTTCTCCTTTGTGGTGGCTAGAAGAACTAAAAGTAGAACTAAAAGCTAAAAGAACTAGAAGCAGTGGGGTAGAGGAGACATGTGCAGGACAACAGTGAGAAAAGGCAGGGGCCAGGTAAGTCACGTGAGCTAGGATGTCAGCATGGGAGGTAGTGGGCTGCAGAGGCATGGCTTCGGGAGGCCTGGTGTGGGGCCAGGAGACTCTGGGAAGAAAATGTGGTCCCCAAGGCACAGAGGTGCCCATGTGGACGGGGTCTGAGGAATGCTATGTGCCTGTCACAAGGATGAACACCTGCCTGTCTTTGAGAAATCCTCTACTGAAGAAACCTACAGCCAAGCGTGGAGGCAAGAAACCCTCCAGGCTGAAAAGCATGCTGGCCTCAAGCACAGAGTTTTCTCACAGATAAGTTCTAAAGGAAAAAGAACAGGCAGGGTAAACAAAGTCGGTGGAAACCAAAACTGACCTCCATTTCCGGCCTCAGAGACCTGAGGTAGCTCTTGAGATCCCCCCGTGTCATCAGTTCCATGATGACCAGTGTGGGCTGGCCCTGGGACACCACGCCCAGCAACCGCACCTGGGAGGAGGCAAAGAGAGAAGGACTCAGCTGGAGGGAGCCGTCCCACTTATCTGGATCTGTATTTGTGATGTGGGGGTCAACACAGCTGGGCCTCCACCCATCAGGCCTGCAGGTAACGGTATGGCAGTGGGTAACTATCTAGAAAACAGGGGGCAGGATACCAGACCCACAGGTATGGCCACGGTCACATCTGTGGCGCTCTGGGGAGCCCTTCTGCCTGAGCTGGATCTTGCCTGCTTGGGGCCTTCCTCTCACCACATGGTGACAGTTGAACTCCTTCATCACGGAAGCCTCGTTGAGAAACTCAATCCTCTCACGCATGCTCGCAGCCTCATTCACGGTCTTGATGGCTACCCGAGTTTCGGGCTCATCTTTCACCACGCCTTTGGCCACCCCTTCGTAGACCATCCCAAAGGAGCCTTGCCCCAGCTCCCGGTTCATGGTGATCTTCTCTCGAGCTACCTCCCACTCATCGGGAACGTACACTAGAAGAGAAAGCAGGGTTGAGATGGGGCAGAGAAACTGCAGGGACCTTCGGGGGCGCTCCTGTACAAGATGCCACAAGGAAAGCAAAAAACATCAGGGGACAATGTTGGGGCCTACTCCAAAGTGTGCCCACAGGTTAAAGATTTGAGTAAGACTGCATCAGTCCAGTATGGGTTTTCCAAAGCTCCAAGGAGTCCAAGATAATTTGTGGCTACTAACAGCACACCAGAAAGACAGGGAAGGAAAAACAACCCAGCATAGGTCAGAAAACTGTGGTTGCTTTTTTATTATTAAATTTTTTAAAAAGTAAATTAATTACTGTGCTTACTAGCAATTTTATAGCTTAAATAGCAACAGGAGACAGAAAAACCAAATGAGACGGTCAAACAGAATTTAAGGTTTGGATCTTGCTCATATTCATCAGTGTATTAAAATGCAAATCATAAAAAGAGAGCAGCAGCAGGAGGAAGAGTTTTTATCCAGACTGGGAAAGGTCAGAGGCATGTGACAGGTGGCAATGTTTCACATCTGTGGTGGGCACACCCTGTACAGAGCCAGCTCAGCCCTGAGAACCTAAATGTGGCTAGTCCAGCTGGGATGTGTTCTAAGTGAAAAACACACATAGGACTGAAAGATCCAATAAAAATATCGTTCGTCCAATAAGTTTTACACTTATCTCATATTAAACCCAATAACATTTTTGTATATATTGGGCTAAACAGTGCCCTGGACATCTAATGAGATACAAAGGAACTAAGCTCTAGTACTGAAGGGACTTGGCAGTGTCTCCAGGACCTTGGCCTACACTCTGTGATGCACAGGGGACAGTCCTGGGGCTGGCTAGCTGACTACAGAGCCTAAACATGATGTCTGCTCCAGATTCTGCTTCTGGATGGGTTTGATCCAGTGTGACAAAAATAATCAAGTAATTCTAGATCGGAAGGATGGAAGAAAAGAGACAAGGAAAGAAAAGGGGAAGAATGAAAGAAAGCAAAAGCAAAGAGAGGCTCCAACCCGCAGCTCTAGCGAGCAGGGTGAAAATTACAATCAGTCTTATCTACACGATCTGCAGGAAATTTCAATTCGGAGCACAACCTTCTCGTGCTGTATGCTAAGGCGGTGGTGCAGAGGGCCACAGGCAGCACGCACTGCTTGGTGGGCTGCAGCTACTGGTGCTGGCTCAGGACTGGGGGCCTGGGAAGTGGGGGGCCTGCCTGAGCTTGCCTCCTGCTTTCAGAGCCGACCACGGGCCTGAGGCTGGCACAGCGCAACTACATTCCAATCTCTCCTGTCTCCAGTGCTGACCTCTAAGTGATATCTTAAAGGAAAGATGTTTAATACAAATCAGGTCTAGGAGACAGCACCAATCTGTACCTTGAGCAGTGTCTGACGTGAGGCTTGAAAGCATTTTGTATTGCATTGTAATTATGTGCTTAGGAATTTCTCAGATGGAACTCTGCCCCTGCAGGGCTCTGGCAGTTTGTGTCCAAGAAAAGGCTGAAGCTTGCTTAGGAGAGCAGACACAAAGAGCCAGGACTGTGAGTGTTCACAGCACCCTCAGCAAGTAAGAGTCGCTGAAAGAGTCACTGAATCCATCTATCTCTGAGGATTCAGGTTGGCACTTAATCAAAATGAACTGCACGGTACGCTACAGAACAAGCAGTTGAAGCCGATCATGCCCGATCTGTGTGGAAGGTCCCACAAGTCCTACACCCTCCATCCTTTTCTCTAAATTTCACCCAACAGCTCTGACTTCCCCAGCAGTCCTAAGCTCCACCAGCCAGTGTGGCTGCAAGATGCGCACAATGTTATCAGCACTCTCTGAAGGGGATTTGCAGGATGCTCTGTGAAGGGCGAGGTGCCATGCAGATCAGCTGCAGAGGGAGGTTTTCAAGCACCTTTGAACGACAATGCCTTTCTGCTGCCCTACGAGGAAAATGGCGATGTGCTTCTCGTCTCAAAGCTCAGTAAGTTAAGTTCCCCTGAGGTGAACACTCCCACCTGCGGGCCTGCGTGGCAGTCAGGTTGCTTCTGCTTTGTTCTTAGAAGAACTAGGACACATTATGAAAGCATTCTGGAAGGCCACAGGCTGAACTCAAGCCACTGCTTGAATCTGATTTGCCTCTATTCATGTTCTCTGGATGCTTCCAGCATATTTCACAGTCAACACCACACATCATCAATCTTTGGTTCTATATTTCAAATCAGAGTAGATTTTCTTGTATAATGTCAGACCATCCTTAGATAGTACAACTAGCCTGTGTCATCTCTACCAATCCTGTTGTCTGGGAAGACCCCATAACCTTACTTGATCCCTCCCTTCCCTTTCTCTTTCTTGTCCATCTGTCTGTCCTCTTAGGCTGCTACTGGGTGTGGTGGCACGTGCCCGTAACCACACCTATTCACAAGGCTGAGGAAGGAGAATCATTTAAGCCCAGGACCTGCAGGTTAGCTCTGGCAACAGACTTTGCCTTAAAAAAGGAAAATAAAGAAAAAAGCTACTATTTATACAAGCAATACAGACTCCTCTTCTGGTTTTTTTTTTTTTTTTGCTTTGTTTCGTTTGGCACCGTGAGTCTGAACCTGGGGCTTCATGCCTGCCAGGCAAGTGCTGCACCATTCCTGGCATTATCCTTCATTTTTGTTGTATTCTAAATAACAACCTCCATAAAAAGTACTATTATAAGTGTATGGTGTATTCTTCCAAAATGTTCTCTGTGCAGTACAGCACATACACATGTTCATATATATACATACATGTCTGTTAAGACAAGTTTGCGAGACCTTCCTATAAACAGGAAGGAGTCCTTATTTTTCTGCACCTGATTCCCATTCAGAAGAGGCTGTTTTTGATCAGCTTTACTATAAACATAATTCAATTAGAAATGATTAAAGAAACCATACTAAAGCTATACACATGTATACAGCGCTTTCAAATTACCAAAATATTTTCCTATGTTTTCTCATTTGATCGGGATAACCAATTAGAAATAATCATGACCGTGCCCTGGTTCCCACCCTTCCCCTTGTAGTCAGAAGGCAGCACAGGCTTTTCCTAGGCGTTCTTCCTCGGCATCATTGTTTATCCACCGGATGAGCCAGCTCTCGCCACTCCTGTGAGCCAGCTTCCCTGCCATCCAGGGCCTCCAGCCCCTTTCTGCAGGGACTGCACCATCTGGTCAACCAGACACAGCAGGAAGAAGGACTGGGGACCGTCCTCTCACCCAACACGCCAGTGCCTTGTTGTGTGACCTCGGCACTTCCATGGATGAGCTTATGGAAACCAAACCACCTGCAGGGTGAGCGCTTTCATAAAGTTCCAGGGTCTTAACTTGGAGGGACCCAATAACAACTCCCTGCAGCCCAACTTTCTTAAAACGTTTGGAATGAAGCAAGACAGGAAAGAGGGAAAAAGAGAAACAAACATGAGTACAACCCAGCTCTCAGGGCAAACCTTTCCAGCTGTTCATATAATCACCCCTCATTACTTACTACCAAAGGGAATGTGAAGAAGGGAATGAATGTTATGATTCTAGCCAGGAGAGAATGACAGGAGGATTCCAAGATAATATACAGCAGCACAGCCATAAATGGCCAGAGGCCTGGAACACAGTGACCCCCAAGCTGAAGCCAGCATAAGGGGGCTGTTTGTCAGCTGCAGCAGAGTCTCGGACTGGATGCTCATAATTAGAACACTTCTTTTATCCCGGCACACGATTTTAAGCAATTAAATATATTTATTACTGTGCCTGCCCCCTCATCCCTGAAGCCTGCTTTTCCTTGGGGCTCCCATACTGTCCCAGAATTTCTGATAAATTCACGGAGCTGCTCGACATTTGGATTTAAAGAAAACACAGGAAGTGTTATCAGACTGGTGCCAGCCAAAGGTACCGGAACAGAATGCACACCTCTTCCTCAGGCCACAGCCTGACAGCTCCCAGGAGAGGCCCCGCCCACCGGCCTCCCAGGAACCTTACCATCCGCAGCACTGAAGTATTCTGGGTTAACAGAAGCGTACAACACTCCATTCCCGAGCCTGCTGTTATTTCTGTCAAAAAATAAGATCAGGTTGAAAACCCCAAATGCCCACATACTTCTGCTTAGGCTTTTACTTTTGTTACACCTGTCTTACTCGCTCTGTTTGACAAATGTCTTAAAGACACTTAAAGACAGAGTTGCTTGCTACGGAAGCTCCTGCCTGAATTCCTGATTCAGGTCTGGGCGGGCCAGCAGACATCTGAGGACACGTTTTTAGCTTCTTTGGTGGCCTCACATTAGGGCTTTTAAAGAAAACGTTTGTTTCTTTGCTCCATTGGCTATAGCAAGGCTTATTAGATAAGGAGGGCTAAATCGGCCCGCTCGGAAAAGTTCCACTTAAGCCAGAAGTGTCTGCGCCGGAATAGCCAGGAAGGGGAAGGGGCGCTCTGATAAAAGTATCATTGTCATTGCTGTTGTTCAATCATTAGAAAATGTTCTCTTTTCCTGGGAAGAACACTTGGCTAGAGAATCACGTTTTCCAGTCTGCACTATTTCCTCAAAAAGATGACCTTCTTTTGGGTTCAGATTGCCAAATCCTCAGATCACAGAGACAGTCTCAGCTTGGCCCCAGGGCTCACCTCTTCCGGTGGAAGTACAGCACTATCACCAGCCCCGTCACGATCAACAGGATGGTGACCGGCAGCGCGATGATCAGATAGATGAAGTTTTCATACGTTGCTGCAGGAACAAGAGGAAACAATACAGTGTCAGCAGCGAACAATCCGCTCATCTCACCTTGTTATATTCACTGGGAAGTACGGGGAAAAACAAAAACAAAAACCAAAACCCTGCAAACTCTTATCCTACCCGAGGAATTCCTGAAGGTAAACGGCATCAGAAATAATACAGCAGATAAGGTGGGACAAGTGCAGAGTGAGTTATATATTTTAAAGTACAGTGTATTTTGGTATAATAAGCTTAAATGATGGATGGAAAGAAAATAACCCTGAAATGCAGGTTGATTACTCTTCATGGAACACATAGTTGCTGAAATGAAACGAAAGGAGATTCCTACAGATCTAGCGCCGTGTTAATGCTCACCTGTTGCATCAGACACCGTTTTGCGTGAGCACCCCGCCCCCCACTGGATGGCCCCCTTGTCAGTGCCGCTCTATTTGTCACTTGTGAGAGTGGCTGAAGTGGAGATCGCAGAACTCGCTGAGGCACTGCTCACCAGCACCTGTGACAGGTGCGCAGGCACCAGAAAGTCAGATCTACGCCCCTGAAAACGGCGCCACGTGTGGGAAATCCGTGCAGTAACAGGTGGAGGAAAACGGACCATGCACATGGCAGGATGCAGGGAGGGAGGCATGGCGCAGAGAGGGTCAAGGGATGCTATTCTTGAAGGCAAAGTTCCTTTTGCCTGAGTACTGAAGGAGAAAGAAAAGCTGGACAGATAGTTTTCCCAGAAGACGGAAGGCTTAGATCTCTAAGCCTGGATGATCCTGAAAAGAAGTCAGGACCTGCAGATAAGGGGCCTTTTCCAGGCTACGTGGTTTCAACTCTGTTCCACATACTCAAAGGTCTGGGAAAGCTTTCGGAGCCAGTGATGAGCTGGTCAGGTAGAGGAGGGAACGGCTGTGCTGGAAGACAGACTGGGGGTGCTGGCCACCGCCATGTCCAGGAGAGCTGAGGGGTGTGTCCCACCCCCAGGCATGGTCTGTGCTCCTGAGTTCAGGCTTCCAGAAGAAACCACTGCTCCTGTTCTACAAACAAGATAACAGGGATGACCTGGCCTTCTGAGGGTCACACAAGTAGCTGGCAGGCATGGCCCCAGAATGGAAAAGCCCAGCCTGCCCACAGTCGGAGCTTGAGAGAGCCCTAAGACACAAGCAAGTGGGAAGCACGAGCTGCGGCAGTGGTGGTGGTGGCGATGGGGAGGTGTTAAGAGGCAGAACCCATGGGCTTGGGCTGGAACGAGAAGCGAATATGTGGGGAGCAGGAACAGCAAAGGACAGTTCGCCTTGGGGCCGGTGGGCTCGGAGGCCACTGAGCTGAGGAGCCGCCCAAGGACGGAGCAAGAAGCTGAAGCTCAGTTTGCGCCCAAGGACTCACTGGGGACCCGGTGGCATGGATCCCGAGTCACCTGCCACTGAGTGCTCTGCCACTAGCAACCATCATCCCCTATATTCTCCAGAGACCATTAAAGCGGCATTAATTTTTAAAATCAAAGGCATTTGTATCAAATTAAATATATTTTGTCTTCCAAAATGAATGGAGGCACTTGCAACTCCCAATTCCTGAAAATACTCACAAGGTAACAGGAAGCCAGGAGGCTTTTCTTTTCTCACCCTGAGGACTATTTCTTATGTTTGTATCACTTACACAACTGGTCAGGTTGTACTGTGTTCTTTTTGAGTTTCACATTTCAACAGGGACGCGGAGAAACTGGAACACATCCAGAGGAGAAGAACAAAATGATTAAATGGCTAGAAAATTGGTCTATGCGACTGGGCTACAAGAAAAGGCTGAAAGACCTAAGAATATTCAATCTGTAGAAGAGGAGCCTGAAGGGTAGTTTAATAGTATTCAAGAACACAAAGGGCTCCTAAAAACAGAGCAGGTGCCAGAGAGCTTCCAACGCCTGCCTCTCCTGAGGATTAAACAGCAGGAAATGAAACCCAACTGCAGCAGGGGCCTTGTCTGACATAAGCAAAAGCTTCCAGCAGCAACGCCAGAGCACGGTTTCAGTCTCCCTGCGGGCAATGCCAACTTCTGGGGGAGAAGCTCTGCAGGAGATGCCTGGATTCCCCGCAGCAGCACCGGTGCACTCCCAGGGTTGCGAATGGGACACGAAGGCAGACAGGACACGTCCTCTCCCAAGAGCGGCCAAGTCTGCTGAGCCCCAGAAGCAAGGGCAACTCTCTCATGGGCCAGAGCCTGACACCAGGCCCCCAACCCCAGGCTCGACTAGAGACTCTGGGGCAGGCTCAAGGGAGAGAAAGTTCAAAGACGCTGCCCAGGACAGGGTCACACCGTGCGTGTTCTCGGGGTGGACGGCGGCAAGAGCCGCTATGGTTAGGTTAGGTGTCCCTGAAGGCCCGTGTTGTGCAGGCTCGGACCTCAGCTTGTGGTGTGACTGGGACTAAGGCCTAGCAGCAGGAAGGTAGGCGGGGGAGGCATGGCCTTAAGGGCATGCTGGGGCTCTGGTCCTTCCGGTCTACTTCCTGGTCACCGAGCAGCTTTCTTCCCTCCACACTTCTTACCATGGTGTTCAGCCTCATCAGGGGCCCAAAAGCAACTGACTGTGCACAGAAACCTCAGAAAAACCATGAGCCAAAACAAACCTTTCGTCCTTGGAGTTTGATCTATCACAGGTATTTGCTCACAGTAACAGAAAGCTAACACAGAGGCTAACTGGTAAGACCAGGTTAAGAGATGAAATAGGAGAATGCAAATGCTTTCAATTGAGAAAATGACCTGCTAAGCATCTGCTGTCCCCTAGACACTGAGCCCAGGCACAGCGCCGCGCCAGGTGCACACGATGTTAGCATGTGGTGTGCAATTCTACCCTGCAGTATCTTCCCGCTGTGTGTCTCTAGGAGAATGTTCAGATATCATGCGTAACACTGAACATCTGGTACTGAACTGATGGACTACTAGAGTCCTTATTTTCTAAACAATTAATGAACCCACAGAATTATGTATTATTGATCATATACAGCATGTTTTGAAATAACTATATACTGAGCTAATTAACACGTCACCTCACATTCTTATCAATTTTATGTGGGAGGAACATCTAAAATCTACCCTCAGGAATATTCAAGAACATGTTATTGGTAACCATGGCATGCTGTACAACTGATTCTTTAAATTTATTTCTCTTATTCCAACGTCTCTTCAGAACCAGACCCTTCCAACTTCTTCTAGTAAGTACTACTACTACTCTCTACTTACATGAGCTCAACATTCTTAGATTCCATATATAATGAAATCATGCAGTATTTATCTTTTTGTGCCTGGAGTTTTTTTGTTGTTGTTTTTGTGTTTTTTAATGTATTTGGTACAGGGTCTCACTACACAGCTTGGCCTCATAGTGATCTTCCTGTTTTCAGCCTCCCCGTGCTGGGATTACAGGCGTGCGCCACCACATCTGGTCTCTCAGCCTGCTCTGAGCACCTAAGGGCAGGGCCAGCACAGCATGTGGTACCAGGGATCAAACCCTGGTCCTTGTGCTTGCCTAAGCCGGTGCTTAGTCCGCTAAGCTATCTCACCAGCTCCCTGTGCCTGGCTTATTTAACACATATCCCACTTGCTTTTTGTGTTGCTGCAAGACCGCCCTCTTTCTTAAGAGATGGAAAATGTTCCGTTGTGTGTATATATACATATTTTAACCCATTCATCTGTTGTGACAGCTGCAGTGGACACAGGGGTGCAGGTAGCTTAAGACACTTTGAGTTCATTTCCCTGGGTATACACCTAAGAGTGGCTCTGCTGCACCTGTTGAGCCCTTGTTATAATCAGACTTCAGAGCAGAGAAGCAGAAGTGCAGACACTGGAAAGGAAAAGCCCATGAGGCCCCCACGTACTGCCATGAGCTGCAGCTGGGCTATAAGGTGCTTTGCAAGGCCTTGTACTCTACTGGCTAGGCCCCCAGCTTGTTTTTAAAATACAGATTGCTCAAGTTGGCTTTGAACTTGTGATCATCCTGCCTCCACTTCCCAAGTGACTGGGATTATGGGCACATGCCATCATGCCTGGCTGGGATGCTATTTTCTTGGTCATTTTTTGCAGTTGGATCTTTATATGTAGTTCAGTTTCAGGCTGGCTTTGAGATCACTATGCAGCCCAGGCTGGCCTCAAACTTATGGTCCTTCTGTGTCAGCCTCCAGACTGCTAGGGCTGCAGGTATACACCACCACACCCAGCTCTGGACTGTGACTATTACTGAGGAGTAGTGAGAACACTATTATAGCAAATTTGATCCCATCATATGAACACAAAATAATCTGAAATATTGTATCAGTTTCTAATAAGACATTTTAAAAACTCTCAGTTGGGATATAATTTCATAAAACAAAAGACTAAATTTTCTTTGTTAAACAACAAGTATTTATATATGGTCCTCCTTGTGCTCAGATATTTTACAAAATTCAGTTTTATAATCAGACAGTAATCCCACCAAGTGGGGAGGCTACAGCAAAAGGAGTCCAAGTCTGATGCGACCCTGGACAATGCAGCGAGACCTTGCCAAACAACACAGAGCTGTAGATGTAGCTCAGGGCGAAAGCCTTGGGACAAACAAAACAAAATGTCCCACATGACTGAAATCATCACAGGGAACAGCTTTCAAATAACTCGGCTTTGCTGATGGCTTGAGCAAACCCTGTAACATCACCCGACCACTGCATATGGTGGTGAGCCCCGGGAGCTTCCGTGCACACGGGTGGATGTGCGCTGGTACTTCAAGTGTGCAGCTGTGTCTCACCAAGGGGAAGTAAGACGGCCTCCGCGGGGTACTCTGTCCTGAGGTTCTTACCATGCAGCAGTGAGACCAGAGGCTCCCTTCTAGGATTCTAAGCCTTGACTATGAACGGTAACAAGTCACTGCCCAAGCAGGGGTCAGGACTGTCAATTCAACATCTGCAGAATAGCTCTGAACACACCAGTGTGAAAGCCAAGATCTCTCCTGACTCTCTAGGGCTACACAAAGAGGCCCCAGACCCTCCAGCTTGTCACATGCAGGAGGAAACATGGGCCAGCACTTTTTCCCAAGCTGAGCTCCCAGTCTACACACTGGCTCCTCAATGTGTCCCTTTTAAACATGGGCCACCTCAGTTCTAACAGATCAGAGCGCCTTAGCAACCCAGGCTTCCCACACTTGCCCCGATCAGGATTTAGCTTTATGACACTACTTCTTTGACAAGCCTTACTTTTGGCCGGGACATAGAAGAACACAGGATCTGTCCATGACCCATTCCCAGAGAGCGAGGTGGCCTGAATCCGGGCGGTGTAGTTCCCTGGGTTTAGCCGGCTCAGTTTGGCCCCGCCATACTTCCTGTATTCCTGTCTGGACACACATTCTCGCTGATCCTGGGGAAATAAAACATGCGTGTCAACTTCCTACAAACACAGGAGACATCTGGCCCCAGCAGCTCATGACACTGGTGACTCTGGGTACCTAAACTGGGGCCACCCCAAGAATGATTCCAGTTGGCAAAAAGGGGAAGGAAACCAAATCCTGTCAGGCAGTCCCTGAGTTACTTAAAGAACACCCAAAACTTGTAATCGTTTCTATAAGCAAACAGAACTACAGAAGAATTAGAAATTGCTAAGGCGGACATGCTTATGCGGGTCGTCACCCTCTGCAATGTGCCGCTGAGGGGCCCTAGCAGCAAGGCTGCTCCATGTATGCGCTGCACCACTGCTCTGAGCCCAGCAGCTAGAACAGCCTCAACTCTCGCTCCCTCCCTCCCTCCCCGCACTGCTGGAGGTTAAGCTACCCAGGAGGCAAGCTGTGTGATGCTGTGCCATGCTCTGCTGTGCTATCCCAAAGCTACTGCACACGCGCGCAGCCCCGGACCACAGCCCCAGGCGTACCTCGGTTTGCGATCCGTACTTTATTTCATACATGAGAATCAGTCCATTGGGGTTCTCTGGTTCTGGCCACTTTAAAAAGATGGAGTTCTCAGGCCTCGACTCCCATGTCACTGGGCCAGGAATGTCGTCTGCTCCTTCTGTTAAACCATTTAAAAAGCGGCAAAGTTGGACTGGGGTTCTCAGGAAGGAAGACAAACGCGAGGCTAAGCTGTGAATGCACGCTTACCGCACGGGGCACAGTGGCCCAGGGTGTGTGACTGAGCCGCACCCCCGCTGACTCTTGCGTCTCAATGCATCACAGCATCCTCCCTTCGCCCCAGCCCCCACCAGAAAAGCCTGCAACCAAGCACAGCGGGAAATTCCTGGTGCTCCAAGCATCTTTCTTTAAATGCTGCTTCTATCACTTGCAGAAAGAACCCTCTTAACACTGCGGCACCGAATGGGGGTGCCAGCCATACTGAAGCCATACACAGACATCTATTTGCAGGCCACGTCTGCACAGCGCAACTGCAGTCCCCATGAGCTGTGAGAGACAGTCACATGGCCAAGCCGCTGGCAGCGAGCGAGCGTCCCTCCCTGGCCACAGTCCTTCCTAGAGCTGGTCTTAAGGAACACATGAAGGCTTAGCTCTAGCACGGCCCTTAGAACTCTCATGTGCTCAAGAGCCGAGCTTCTGGGAGGTGACTGAATCTCAGGGGCGCTACGCTCCTCAGCCGGCTCTGCCACTCATGTGCTAAGGAGCTGAGGGCACTGCTGGGAGGGGCATCTGGTCAGAGGCGGTCACCAGGGGCATGGCCTGTTGGGCATGACTCCCTCCTCAGCTACCTCATTTCTTTCTGTGCTTCCTGACCACCACGACGTGAGCAGCTCTTCTCTGCAGCAGGCTGTTTCACCGGGCCATTTTGGGATTTAAGCCTGTCCACCACGGACTGAATTCACACAGTGAGCCAAAATAAACCTCTTCTCTATGTTGTGGGCACTGAGTATTGTGTCTCAGCCACAAGAAAGTGACTTACACGAGGTCACCTCAACAAAGCAGCTACAGTAGTCTGGTTCTGAAGCGTCACCCAAAGGCCTGGTCTCCAGCGTGTGGTGGAGCTGCCGGGAAGGACATTAGGCCAAAGAAGCACCCTCAAAGGGTGCACTGAGACCCTGGCCTCTCCCTCTTTTCGTTTTCCAGCCTCCATGAGGTGAGCAGCTTTCTCCCACTGCAAACTCTGCCCATGATGTACAACTGTGCTACCACGAACCCAAAGCAACTGGGCCAAGTGACCATTAGTTGAAATTTCTGGAATCACCAGCCAGAAATCAACATTTCCTCCATTTAAGTTGTTTCTATCTCATTTTGGCACAATGACTGAACACTCCCTCACACTGCAGGTAACTCGAAACAGTAGTGAATCTGGGAGAATCCAAGGAGCAGGTGCACTTAACTGTGCACAAAGGGAGCAAAGGCTGAAATGCACAGTGGAAACCAAGAGGAGAAGGGACCCTGCAGGGAGCTATGCGACAGGAGACGGGCTCCGCTTCCTAGCTGGCTGCCTCCCAGGGATGGCACACTGATAGCTAAGACTGAGTCTAAGACTCTCACCCCAAGTGCCAAGGTAAACCGGATCACGCCATACCTGCAGGCATGGTTCTTGCAAAGACGAAGTTGGAAGCACTACAGCCCAGCTTCTCAGCCTCGTGGTTACAGCTGTGGATGTCAATCCGGTACAAAGTGAAAGGGCGTAGGTTGGAAATGACCGTCCTCTCCTTATTATCCACTCTGCTCTCAAAGAAGGGGTATTCTGTCTCCAGCTCCTCTGGGTCTGTGGTATTGTAGGTGTCAGCCACCGTAGTGTTCCTGCTTCGGCTGGGCATGGTGGTGTTGGCCACCTGCATAACATCTCTCCGCTTCCGTTCAGGCCTGCAGGCAAGAAAGAGGCTTGTTAGTGCTGCTGCCTCTTCTGTCTGCTCTTTGATGAGGGCAAGAGTAACAGGAAAGAAAAATCTTCACCTTGGATAAGCACCACCTCAGAGCAGGGGGGGATTTTGTTTTTTAGTATTTACCCTGCTTTCTCTGCTCTACACCCCAAGAACCAGCATATATACCCTGGCCCTGGCTCCTGACGGGATTCACTTTAAGATATCTCTAAACAAACGCCTCAGCCACTTGGTCACACAGAGCCCCGCTGCATCAGAAGCCAGTGGCATCTCTTCTTGGGCCTCATGGCTAAGCATTAAGGGTTCAAACTCATTCAACACATACTAAGATTTTTTGGGGAGGGGTGTTGCTCAGGCCCCAGAAAAAAGGGACAGAAGGAATTCAAAGGCCACAATGGCACACTTTTGATTCCTTCTGAAATAAGGTGACAATGTATTGATCCTAGCAGCACATGCCTGCACACCCAGCCCCTTTCTGGGGGCCTCCAGCTGACCGACGCTCGTTCTCTACCCCAAGCCTGCCGTGTGTGCCGTACTCCTGATGGTCTCTCTGGCCTTGCCTGCTGCTTGGCAGTGGCCACTGCGGTCTCCTCAGTATCCTGCCCATGAAAGGGGACGAGTTTTCGTGATGGATTTAAGACTCTGAACAATGGCTACAGGAACAGTAATGAAAGAAAAGCAAAAGGGAACATACAAAATCCCCAGGGGACATCACCACCACCCCAACAGGCCAACAACGGGGGCTTGACCTCCAATGGTTGCTTTAGTAGGATTTGAAAAACTGGGATTTTTAGGCTCCTCCAGGGCAACTCTACAGGCTCCTCTCACTCACACGAAGCAAGGAAAATGAACTTGAGAGGAGAATTCACACAGGACAAGCAGCCGTGAGGCTGTGCACAACTCGGAGGGGAATGGAGGAGGAGAAGAAGAAAAGGAAGGAAGGAAGGAAGGAAGGGAGGGAGGGAGGGAGGGAGGAGGGGAGCACAGTGTTGAGGCCACTGGCTGGTGACATGGTCTTCTGAATGGGAAAAAGACCAGGAACAAATGGGATGAACCTCTTCTGCTAAGAAAACTAAGTCCCAAAGAATAGGGGAAACACATGAGCCTCCAATACAGAAGATAGTAACATCAAGAACAAAGGTTCTGAGGGCATCCTGGGATCTCTGTGGAGGCTCACAGGAGGCCTAGCGGGCTTCTTGCTGGCCCCTAGGCCGAGATCTGGAGGCCAGAGGCAGGGGCAGGGAAAGGGCCACTGGCTCCCAGTGTGCTTGGCTTGTGGATTCCTCTGCAGATAAAAACATCATTCTTTGTGTAGTGACATCAGGCCCCACTGAAGGCAGAAACTGCACAACACCGAGAAACTTCACTCCAAAAGGTAGAGAAAGGAAAGTCAGGGGCAGGTGCAGCATTTTCACATTGCTGAGGAAGGAAGGGCTAGGAAATGAGGCCAATAATCCACCATCCTCAGGCCGTGCAAACCAACCAACCCACAAACTACCTTCCTGGAAGGAAGAACACAAGAAACCACATTCACTGCTAGACAGACTGCTTCCAACACATCACTAAGAAATCTCCTGCCTTCCCTTCCAAACTAACACAACACATGCTTGTGTCTGTAAGTCACCTACCATTTGGGTTTGAGCAACAGCAAAATAAGTGTCCACCCCTGCCCTACCCTACCACCACTGCTCGGGGCTCACATCAGCCATTAAGTGCACTCCACTGCTCTGGAGGCTGCACAGTTGCTGCCACTACCTCAGGGATCAGAAGTGAACAACAGAAGGCCAGCAGGAAGGCCGGAGCAGAGAGCACAGCGGCTCACATGGCTGCAGCTAACTCTACATGGCGCCCAAAGGCCAACATGGTGGCCAACTCTCCTTACTCCTCTTGATAACACAACCTACTTCCATGGGAAATCCTTTCACTTCTCAATGTGTCAACATGTTACTGACAAAAACAAATGCTCTGAAGAGAACAATAAAGATGCTAGCCAAGGACGACACTTGGTACCACATGGCAACTTCACAAACTGGCTTCCCATGCGCTTCTGACACCCAGCATGCTGGACCATGCAGAAGCAAGGAAGTCTAACATGGCCAATTTTCACCTTCAAGTAAATTGTTCCTAGGATGAACTGCATGAACTCAAAGTAGCTTTTGGATAGTCTAGCTACAAAACAAAAAACTAGACTGCATGATGTAGTTATTCTGGTCACTCCTATCTGTGAGCTTGTCAGAACTTACACAAACATCAGATTTAAGGCTTAGCAGGACGCAAACAAAAAGTAGTGAGTTCCTAATGAATTGTGGCCTCTCACCATGGATAAAAAATGGTATCTATGTTCATACCATGAAAAGAGAGAGCTGTCAAACTGGATTTGTTTTAAGACAGAGAAGTCAGACTGTGGGAATAGATGTGCGTGTTTCTTAGGATTTGGCAGACAGGAAACTTATTTTGACCCCAATGACACAACTGCTGGGTGTTAATAACACTGATGTCAACCACATCACTTAATCTGGTGTTCCACATCCGATAAGAAGGTATCATCTTGTGACTACAACTGGAAGTTAGGGCCTTTCTCCTATGGTGTGTACCTCACAGGCCCTTGTGGCAGAAGCGCGGCCCTCAGGGGCAGTAGTAAGAGGTAGTGAAACCCTTAGGAGATGGGACCTACTGGCAGATGCTTGGGTAACTGAAGGTGCTGCTCTCAGACCTGAGGAGAGAGCAGGCCGTTGGCCTGAGAGCAGCTTCTTATTCAAGAGCAAAGCAGATTCCTGGGTCTCTCTGGCATCTTGGTTTCTTGGGTCCCTCCTCCTAAGTGCTCTTGCCAGGGTGCTCCACCTTGTCATCCAGCCCAGGGGCCCTCACAGAGCAGAGCAGAGGATGGCTCCATGTGCTTTAGCTTTTCGAAGCTGAGAGCTTTACATACTGCCTAGTCTTAGGCATTTTGTTATAGCAACAGAAAATGAACTAATGAAACTTTTTAAATCCTTGACTTAGAACCACAATCTCTGAGGCAGGCTAGAAAGCACATCGGTGTAACCAACAGCCTTTGGTAGACAGTAAACAGACAGCCTCATGGGGCTGGCATGTCTAGCTCAGTGGTGGAATGCTTGCCCAGCACGCATGAGGCCCTAGATTTGATCCTCAGCACCACAACAAAACAAAATAAAAGACAACTTCCCACCATGCCTGCTGGGGACAATCTTTATTCATCCTTTCCTGTGGCATCAGGAACTGTCCCGCAGACCATGCTGAAGTGGGTGGAATTCAATGAGGGAAAAGATCCCTGAGGTCTGAGGATGCAGCCTACCTCTCAAACAGATTCTAAACTAATTAGGATACACAGACACCATGGTAATAAAACCAGAGTGCACACTGATGCTCGAGGCTGACACTTAGACAGCAGCACTAAGATCTGATCTTGGAGCTGCCCGAACAGGCCGGCAGAGGAACCACTGCAATGTGGGCAGTGCATCTGCAGCTTGGAAACAGAGAGACAGAGACAGACAGACAGACAGAGACAGAGACAGAGAGAGAGACAGACAGACACGCACACACACACACAGGGGAGGGGGAGAGAGACAGACAAACACACACGGGGGGGAAGAGACACACACACACACACACACGAGGGGGGAGGGAGAGAGGCAGACACACACACATGTGGAGGGGGAAGAGAGAGACAGAGATAGAGAGATAGAGAGACAGACACACAGACATGGACACAGAGACAGAGAAGGAGGGGAAAAGTTATTAAGCAGAGAGTAGTTGCTTTCTCAAAAAGAAATAGAATCTTCAGTTATAAAAGACTTTTATTTCCTACTTAACCGAGTCCTCAAAGTAAGAGAGGCTATCTTTGACCATTTTGCAAATATCCTAAAAGTCACTTGAGAGAGGAAAAGAAAAACTCTTTAAGACCCATGTGTCATTACAACCTAAGAAAGTTTTCAGAGACAAATTACTGTAAATATGGAATAACCTGCTACATACTTCCGAGGCCTCGGAGAACACGATAGGCAAAGCTAGCAGCTGAGCACCGTGGGGACAGGGTCAGGGACCTCCCAGGGCTGGTGTGATCCACCCACCATCAGGATTCAGGAGCAAGGCTACCCCCAGAGCTGTGAAGGGAGTCGTGGACCACCACGATGTCCAACTCCTGTCCCTGACACGATCAGGCTGCTCTACGGAGGTTTCCTTCAGTTTTCAAAAAACATTTGGTTTGCTATTTTGTTGTTGTGCTAAGGTAAACTGTTCAAATAAAGAAATCAATTACACAAATTCTTGCCATTTAACTGCATGTATACACGTGGGTTGGGCCTCACACTTAGCAGGCAAGGGCCCTACTACTGAACCACACCTCTGTTCCTTATAAACTGGTATTCAGAGACACAGCCTTGAAAAGTTGCCCAGGCTGGCCACCAACTTGTGGCTCTCCTGACTCAGCCTCCTGAGCAGCTGGGGCACGGGTGTGCCACCCCACCCAGCCTATTTTTAACTGTGTATTCAGCAGCATGAACTGCTGTATAACACTCGTCTCCGTTTCCAGAACATTCTCATCATCCCAAACAGAAAGCAACTTTCCTAGCTTCCTCCTTGCGCTACTCCCTGCTCCTGGTGAATCTTCTACTGCACATCTGCCTGTTCCATTTTTCCACACACAGGGACGGGTACGTGCGGACTTATTTCACTTGCATGGGTTCTCAGGCCTCGTGCATGCTCCACAGTGGTCTGACTTTGCTCCTTTTCACTGGTGAATTCCATCCCATGGAAGGCTGGACCTCCTTTGGCTCCTCCCCTTGTCTGAGGATGGACCCTGAGTTGTTTCCAGGCTTTCCCTGTACAGTGCTGCTACCCAATACTTCCTTTCCTCCACTTTTGGTCCTGCTTCATAAAGTGTGAGGCTGTAGCACAGGAGTAGAGACTCCTGGGGGCAAAGGCTGCCTCCTATTCTGAGCCCCAACCTACTTGTACAGGATGCCTGGGGAAGCCGGAAGGGGCAGCAGGGAAGAGCGAGTCCTGCTTTTTCTTTGGCTCATTTCCACGCATATGGGCAGGTGACTGACGCCCCAGCCTCACTTCCCATCCCCAAGGACCCCACCTATGGGAGGTGGTGAGCCCGAGATAGCAGTACCTGCTAATCCTCAGCACCCCACACCCAAGCCTGAGCCCCTTTTGCTCAGGCCTGCCAGCTTCCCCAGCCAAGCTGGAATCCTGTTTCCTGCTCCAGCCAGAGGCCCTTGTATCATGCCCTGCACTGCCCAGTACAGAGAAGCAAGGAACCCACCCTGGGAGCCACAGCCTTTCAAATGGCCCCATACCTGGGCACGAAGATGGAGTTGTGCAGGAAATTCTCAAACACCTTCCGGTACTCAGCCTCCTCCTTCTCAGCCTGCTTCTCGGCTTCCGTCTTGGGGCAAGCGCAGCAAGGCCCCTTCTCCCCACCGCACACTTCAGTCTTAGGATTCTCCGTGACCTCTTCGACGTCAATGGTGCCGTCTGCATACTTCCGGATGGGGATTTTGTCTTCTCAGAAAAGAGAAGCACAGAGGAGAATGGGAGTGAGAGCCTGGCACTGCACACGTGGAAGGACAGGGCAGGCTGTGGGTGCTGCCTCTTAACTAACTGTGAGTTGGTTTCCAAGCCAAGAAATTATACTTTCACCTAACAGGTGTGACACTGGGGCTCAGGTGCACCCAGCCTCCGGGCACGGGCGTCTCACCACCTCCCCGCAGCTGCACTCTTACCTTTGGAGCAGTAGTTGTGCCGGTACAGGTAGCCATCCTGAGGCTGCCGCTGCCACCGCACGATGTAGTAGCTCAGGTTCCCGTTGGGTAGAGACGGAGGGTTCCACTTCACAATGAGCTGAGAAGACGAGTTAGATGCCGAAAGGACATCCAGGGGAATGGAAGGGACTGGAAAGGAGGACAGAGAGCATTTCAGAAAATAAACGAGTTTAAGGTCGAGGCATTAGGGACTCTGTAAATCAACAGGAATTTGCAAGTATGACCTGGATAAGAAGACAGCAATAAAAACCGAAACACACAGTGAAAACCGAACCTTTTCAAAGAGTACTAATTTAAATGCCAACATCTCCCTTTATAGCATCTATTCTTGGGTAATCGCCGTGAAAACAAATACAGCTGAGTTGCAAGTAGAAAAGGTTCCCAGGGCAAGGGCAGGGGAGGAACAGCTGACTTAAAATCTACAGGTCATTCAGATACCCACATTTCTCTTTTCTTACAGCTTCCAAGCTGCAACACACTTACCTCCAGTGGTTTTACCAAGTGGAAAACTGACTGATTGGGATGTTAAATCTCTGGTAAAAATGTAAGAAGCTGAAGGGAACGGTGGAAGGAGGAGGAAGCTGGCTGTATGTGTGTGTGTGCGTGTGCGTGTGCGTGTGTGTACACAGAAGCATGCATGCCTCTGAGAAAGAGATCAGGGGAAAGGCAGTGCAGACAGCAAGGAAGCCCGCCAATCCGATAATCTGCTCCAGCCGATTGACTGGGACTCGACTGCAAAGCAGCCTACAGATGCAAACACGTGTAAGCCCTGATTTTAAGCAGAAGACTCTGTTACCAGCAAAAGAACACTGATTTACGGGCAAAGCATTATAATCCAATCAACCTCAACTTCTGCTGACACCCAAGCTCAGGCCAAGTGCTGACGTATCAGGGAGGAAACATGCATCCCAGGATCACTGACATCGCGTTCTCTGTCTACAGCCGTACCACTGCATGCGCCCAACCACATCTTAAATTGTGTTCTCACTGGGTTCACAAAAAGCAGCAATTTGGGTAGTTTTTCCAAAGCTCAAGAGGTACCTTCCCAGTATGCACTGAACCAACAGGCTGTTTTTAAATGTGAAATGAGAAACACTACAGGATACAGAACACAGGGATCCCAGCCTCTCCAAGGGGTAGAACTTTGGGGAAAGGCTATGGCTAACACTAGCTTTTCCAGAGAAAATACAATCACCTGTCCTTGGTCAATTTAGTTTCCAAAAGCAAGTACTTAAAAAATAAACAGCTTATTCCTATATGTTTCAATATAGGTGTCACAAAAAACAGGCACAAGAACAGTTATTAATCTGTTCCTACGACTTGTGAGGATAGGGCTGAAATGCAGGGAGAAGATTCATTCTGTACAGGGATTGGTTTTTTTTATCTTTTGGGGGAAAGAAAGATGTTTCTTAATAAATTTCTATAGTAAGGAAAAATTCCTATTTTTCTCCAACTCACTACAAGGACTGATTGCTGGGCAATCTAGAGGTGATGGACACTTCGGGATGATTACGTTGTCCCCAGGACCTTCTCTACCTGTCTGTTTCCTGGCTGCCAGGGGGTGAACCACTCTGCTATACCCTTTCCATGATGCTCTTCCTTACCCTGGACCCAGAAACAAAGCGGGCAAAGAGACCATGGGCTGAACCTCTAAAACAATGTGCCCAAATAAGTCTTTCTTATCTTAAAATTGTATTTCTCAGGTATTCTGTCCGAATGACGGGAAGCTACGACACTAGCCTAGCACCCGGGCAAGTTGGGCTCACAGGCACAGAAGAGGGAGGTAGGTGACAGGAGATGGTTCCAAATCCAAAAGCTGAGCCAGGAGAACCTGAGGTGCTGCAGTGGGAAAGATCATGCACCCCAGGTGCAGTGGCACACACCATGATCCAAGAGTTCTAGGAGGCTGTGGAAAGAGGAGTGTAAGTTTGAGCCCAGTATGGGCAACACGGCAAGACCATGTCTCAAAACAAAAAAACTAGAGGCCACAAATGGATTCACTCGAAACCAACAGAGCATTATGCACCCATGAGAAAGACACAGCACACGCATCTTACTGCCAGTCTACACACACACTTCCGTCTGTTGGAGCACAGCAAGCTCATAAATAAGTGGGGGCAGGAGGGATGTCAGGGGCTTGTCTGGCACATGGTACCTGAAGCATTGGTGCGGATATACAGGATTTCACTCTTGGCCCCACGGATGTGGTCGTTCTCTACCATGGTGAGGGTCACGGCCTTGATGTAGACTGCGTACTGCGTCCAGGGCTTCAGCCCTTGCAGCAGGATGCCAGGCTCCCCATCCTTGTTGGGAGGCAGGTCCACATCCACCATGTTCCAGCTGTTGGAGCCACAAGCATCCTGTCCGTCATATTCAGTGACATTTTTAAATGGTCTGAAAGATAATCAACCAAGTGTAAGGCATGTGTTGGGCTCTGGCTCCGAAACTCCTTACTTGTAGCAGTTTTTTTCATCATTAAGTAAAACGAAGCACAGTCATTTAATACAAACATCAGATTTGATAAAGGATTTTGAGAAAACAGAAAAAAGGAAGCAGCTTCTAACATGAGTTGTTCACAGCATATTCTGATGCTTAAGTATCTTATAATATTCAAATATTTAGTTTTCACATTGTCTCAGAAACTCAGCTATGACTCAGTGAAATGAACAGCTGACGCAAAGTATCAGAGGGACTTCAAAGAGAGCAGAGATCTGTGTACAGATGCATGGCTGGGTAGGAGTTCTCCATTGATGAGATAAAGGTGCCACTAGTCACCAGCTTCTGAAACAGGCATTAATGTGACCTGCACGCTGTCACTACGGGAGACCACAGGGGATTCCTACACATACAAACACTGATCACAGAGCTGGCGAGACAGCTCAGTGGCCTAAGTGCCTGCTTTGGCAAGTGCAGGGACCAGGGTTCGATCCCTGGTCCTGCATACTATGTCGGCCCCACCCCCAGGCACGCTGAACCTGCGACCCAGTCTGAGCATGGTGGTGCATGCCTGTAATCCCAGCACTGGGGAGCCTAAAAACAAGAGGATTACTGCAAATGAGTCCAAGCCATGTAGTGAGACCTGTACCAAAGACATAAATGAAAACAGACAAACACGGAATGCCTAGCCGTCACCATCCTGTTTCAACTTTTGTCACTGGCTATGCCAATTCCAGGACCCTGGCCCAGCAGGGGGAAGGAAAGATGGTAGAGGCTGCCTCTGCCTCTTGCTCTAGGGAAGCCAGGCAGCTGGGACAGACATACGCATGAGGTGGGATCTGGCTAAGGCGACTGCAAGAACAACCCAGATGAGGGGGTGCAGGGAGGAGCAGGGAGACCCAGCAGAGCTGCAGCCTGGAGGAGGATGTCATGCTGCACAGACAGGCAGATGTCACCTGATGGCGTGGGAAAGCCCCCACTAGATTCTGGGAGAAGTCACAAAAGGCTGGAGACGCCAAAGCCAAAGCCGGTCTGTGTCTCCACTCCTTCCTTTGTTTGGGGCTCATGACCTTGAGCAGTGGCTGGGACAGGCCGGTAGATGCAACTGGCCAGGCTAGGGCTTTACTCATGCGGGTATAGCTGGAGTAGGGGTGCATGAGTCCAAAAGTATTTCAACCAAGTCATGTGTCACAGTTTATGACACTTCAGGGCGACCCAATCCTCTAAAATTTCAAGCTTTTCAACTCTTAGGGTTTATTCAAACATCTGTAACTAGCACTGAACAATGAACAGCCCAAGCTATCGTGGGATGGAACCTTGGGCTAGCTGGAAAGCGCATGTGAGAGGGAAGCCCGCACTCAGCCCAGTTTTCCATGGGGTCGCTGCTGGCTTCCCTCCAGACAACACACACAACATCCAAAGGACGGGGCACCGCTGTGCCCAGGCCCACTAGCGGAACGCCACCAGTGTGGAAACTTACGCCTCCTTGTAATAAACAGTGAAGCTGATGAGGTCCCTGTAGTCCGGGGGCCGGTACCGGTGCCAGGTTATGATCATACGGTTCTTCCACGTGGTGGTGGAGGTGAAACGTAACACGTCGCTTTCACCTGGGAGACAGAGGTACACCAGTGAGTGACAAAGATCTCTGAAAAGACACTGATCCGAGCATTCCTGCCCTCCTCTCCAAAGATGGCGTCCCTGTCTGGACGCTGCAGGTGGCATTCTTTCTACTAGCAACTCAAGCATTTCACTGTGTGAAGACCCAAGTGGTTGTTTGTTCTAGTTCAGTCATTGCTCTGGCTATGTGCCCAGGGAATGGACGTGAACCAGCAATTGTTCCTCAACCTGAAAGAACGAAGTAGGTGCCTCTCTTGGCCATCCCCAAGCTGCTGACTGCCAACGGGGGCCTGGTCACATGAGAGTGAACTTTAAGCTGGACCAGGTCTTTTGAGGAAACAGCAGCTAGTCTGCAGGTGTGGTGTCTGGCTATTCCTGCGCATCTCCCTGAGGCAGACACAGGTCTCCAAAAGGACCACAGAAGAACTGCTCTTAGCCTGACCTGGAAATAAAATTGGAAAGACATGGAATTTCCTAGAGGTCTCTAGCGAGGGAACCGGGCTGCACTGGGCCCACCCGTGTGTCGAGCGGAGGGGAGCCGTGGCGGCTGTGGTCTAGCCCCTAGGGATGCTGCCCCGAGCCCCTATGGTCTCTGCATCAGGTTCCACCTGCAGTGAGAGCCAGCGAAGAGCTGACTGCTGCTGCATGGCTCAGGAGACCCAGAACTCTGACTGCTTGTCCTGCCCCTGTGTTGGCCTGAACTGGATCATGCACCAAGGAGGTGGAGCAGAGAGATGGAGGGGAGTGCCACCCCAGGAAGTCTTCTGCATACAGGGGCTTGGCTGAGACCAGGAGCACCTTGTATGCCCTACTGGTGTAATGCCTAGGGAAACCACCACTGCACTCTCAGAGGAGAATAACAGCAGCTGCTTTTGCAGCTTGACAGGGCGGGCAGGCTGAGTAGGGAGAGAGCACTTTGAGGGTGCTCTGATACATCTGCTTCTGCCCTGGTCTCAATAGGGAAGCAGGCAGGGGCCCGGCTGTGGGGAGGGACGCTGGCTACACCCTACCCCATGCTGGCTCACCTCTCTCCCCCCTCACTTCCTCAGGGGCTGAGTGTCTACCATGCAAATCCATACACGCACAACACAAGCATTGGCCAACTGTTAAGCAGTTTTCACAGACCTAACTCCGTGTGTGTGTGTGTGTGTGTGTGTGTGTGTGTTCAAATCACTGTGATCACAAAAATTATTCTACCTTTTTTAATCTAAAATCAAAGGTAGAAACATAATTTGCCTTAACTACCCCAGCCTATGCAATAAAGCTCTGCCCTCCTAAAACCTTGTCTCACACAGAGTTAATGAAGGAGCCACACACTGTGACACCTAAGAGTTAATAAAGGAGCCATGCACTGTGACACCTAAGGCCTAGCGCCATGCTGGCAGGAAGGCTGGGCTAACGGAGGCTGGGCTCCATGTCGGTGAGACCTTAACATCAAAGCTATATCACCAGAGCAAGGTTATGATTAGATGGCTCAAAATCTAAACAGCTTCATGGATATAAAGACGCAGGCTCAGCCCATCTCTCTCTGCCAGGGTAGGAGCAGGCAGGGGGCTGTGTGGGTGGGCTGGGGAGCCTGTGGTCCCCAACAGCTGTTTGCTTATGGTCCCTTCCACAGGACATGGAAAGCAGAGCTGCTGGACCTGTGTGCCCACACAGAAAACGACACTGAGCTGCGTGCTCCGCGAGCACCTGTTCGGAGGCTGGGTGGGAACCTACTTTTCGATGCAATACTGAACACGCAGACACAAGTGCTTGGGAATGCACGTGGACCAGGCAACATCCAGACCCGCTCCCTACTGGCTGCGAAGAGGGGAAGATGTACACAGGAACGGGCCTAGGATGGCTGGTGGCCTGCCACGGGAAATGGGAGGGGTCTCCCCAGTGCACTGGGAAGGCTGACAGGAAGAAGGCCTGTGGTTAGCATCGCTGTGGAGCCCCCAGAGGGCTGAACCCTGTCACTCACAGGAGGCTCGCTCGCCGTTGTTCCTGGTGTTTATATCCCCTTTGCTCTGGCGCCCTTTCGTCCCCGTCACTTCCTCCATGCGGTAAATTTCAGAAACGCACAGTTTGGGATTGAAAGCGAAGTACATCTTCCCTGACTTGATGGTCAGGTTGCGGTGGTCCCAGTCCCACAGCTGCTGCAGGTTCTGGTTGTCCAGGACGTAGAAGGAGTAGTTCCTGGGGGCAGAGACATGGATGCTAGTGTACCTGCCCGTGTCCGTGGGCCACACCCATCTGCTGGCCCAGCCAGCATGGCTTCCTCTGTGGTGCTCCAGCTCCACAATGCCTTTCCTTTACCAATACAAGATTTAGTTACTGATGCAGAGAGAGAGAGAGAGAGAGAGAGAGAGAGAGAGAGAGAGAGAGAGAGAGAGAGAGACTCTTAACCAAGGTAATAGCATGAGTCAAGGGCAACATACTGAAATCAATAGGACCTAATTAATTTTATGATCTCTATTCCAACATCTAAGGCTCCACACACTAGAGGATGCTCCTCCAATCATCCCCTAGAAATGCTGTTGGTTGTTTATCTCAGAGCCAGGTATGTACTCTGCACTTGAAATCTGTGTGGGAGAACAGACACGCTCTGCTACCCAACCAGAACGGCTTACATATTTGCTGCAAAGCCTCCCGTTATCCTCAGGAGAAACTCCCACCCGTGCCCAATCAGCAGTGCATGATGGAATGGGAGACAGCTGAGGGGCAGGCAGCCCTAGGCTGTTCCCTCTTCTACACACACCTTTCATCCCAAGACGGTTGCACTTTAGTCCCTGCAGGTACAGGGAGGAAAGACGTCATCCAGATGGTCCTCCCCATCCCAGGGTGCCCAACTAGGCAGTGTGACTGTGTGTCTAATTCACTGGTTCTCCATATTCTGTGTGTATAAAGTTTGCTCTCAGAGTACAAAACTCCATACTTGGAGTTTCTGATGCAGGGGTCTGGGGTAGATGGAGACTCTGCATTTCTTCTAGATATTAGGTAATGCTGACACTGCCAATACTAGGATCATCCTGGAAAAACTACTGGTCCAACAGAGGCTGAGCTTCAGCAGCAAGGTGGTAGAGGCCCAGAGCCCAGCTGGTTGGCCATGACTCCTCCCCCAGTGCCCACACTGTCCACTAAAGGCAAGATGTGAAGACAGTCAACAGGGGAAATTACTACCAGTGGCCACTAGGTATGGGAGAAACTGTGTCTTGGGGGGTGAAACAGCACGGTGTAGGTCCAGCTTAGAGACCTGACCTCGGCTTGGCCTTCCTCGCTCACCCCCCAGGAGAAGCCAGCAGGCAGTGCCACGGCTGATGGTCTGAGGCTGGTGCATCAGTGGGTCTGTTCCCTTGGGCCTAGAACCCTTCTCCCACATTTGCTCCACACCTTTGGTTTCTTTCTAAGGTTCCCTTAGATCTTAGATTTGGGGAAGCACTTTCAGCTATTTCTGAGATTCATGCAGATGCAAGAAACGAACATAGCCAGGACAAGCGAGAACGCTGGAGTCCTCTTCTGCCCCGGAGGCTGTATGCACTGGGCACCTCTCTGCACCTGCTGGGGCTTCATCTCCCAGCCAGGACCTCCAACCAGCTGGTCCATCTTTAGCTGAGTCTTTCCAGACTAAAGCACCAGCTGCTGGGACAACGTTGCCAAGCAACATTAGACACCTCCTCGGGAGTTCAGAGACCGGGAGAGAACTCAGAAATGGAGACTATGGTGTGGACACGTCATTTGAGGGCTGTAAGGCTCAAGGCAAAGACCTTTTGTCTTGTCTGTGGCATCCTTTACTCACTGACAGGACCACAGGGGCATGAGCAGGTGGCAGCTGAGCTCCTTTTGGCTTCAATAGCCCTAGTACCCAGAGGGGTCACGGAGCTGAGGTGGAATCGGCTCTGCCACCTGGAGCCCTACCCTTCAGCACAGGCCCTTGGCACAGACTGGGGTGAGAGTGCCACCCACGCAAGGTCAGCACCTTGGCGCCACACCAGGTGCATGCTCCCAAGCCACTCTCAGGACACATGTACACCCACAAATGAGTAGTGAGGACATGACAGTCAATACAGATCTCTCGCTTCTGCATCTGTGTCTTGACAAAGGAATCAAAGGCATTTTCCAAGCGTCTAGACGGTGACACAAGCCTGGCTGGGCCTGCCGTCCCTGGAGACATAGCTGTTCCTGGTCCTCTCTCGCTGCTGGTCAGGGTCATTAAGCACCACCCGACAAGCACACAAGGGTCACAGAGATAGAAATGGGTTTGCGCTAGGTCCAAAGGAGAAGACTGCAATGCCACTGCCAAGCCCAGTGGGTCTGGCTGCTCTCTGGTCCCTGAGGCACGCCTGGGGACAAAAGTCTCCTTACTGGCAAAGAAACCTCTGGGCTGAGCTTGACGTAGGGACTTATTAATCAGGTCAAATTCCCCCTCAATCCAGGATGAAGCCTCTTTTAGTAAACTAATTTCACTAGTAGGAAATAGAGCTGCACTGAAAATACCTTCTGAACAAAACATTCTTCTCCCCATGGGAGGAAGCATGAATTATAAATCAGGAACTTGACAATGAATGGCAGGCACACTGAAGTTCTGTGTATTTGATTAATCACTTTGAAAAGCAAGATTATCTTTTTATAGTAAACAAATATTTTTCACAGCATTGTGAAAGCTGGGAGCCAGGATACCAACATCAATAAAACCCTGGTGCTACGGAGCCCGTGGAAGGTAAAGAAAAATATAAATAAAACCCGTATCGAACAATAATCAAGCGTTTCATTAGCTGTCTGTTTGTCATGCTCTTGGCTTTCCAACCCCAGCTTGGGGTCCTGCTCCCACCAAATTTCTGTGATCAGATGATAATTAAGAGAGGGTAAAAGGCAGAGATCTGTCCGCACATCTTTAAAATAAACTTGCATTTTCACTGTTCCTTAAAGGAAATGACTATCCTAGGAAATTATTTAGTAAGTGTGATTTCATAGTTGTTTCCAAGCTCACTGCCTTTACATTCGTTGAAGTTTTGGGCATTTCATTAGCTCCCGATGGTTCTATAATGCTCGGGTTTTGTTGATATTATTTTCTTGGCTTTCAGCCTTCTCAATGTTGTAAAAAACCATGTTTCTCCACATGGATGGGCCCCACCTGCCAATCTGTGTACACCAGCTGGGGTGGGGCTTCTGGAGGCATGAGCATGGCATCATCGACACGGACTGAAGTGTGTCACTGTGGCCACATGGCAGGGCCATCCTGGCTCCGAGTGTCAGGAGCAGTGTTCCCCCAGGAGCAGGAGGGGGAACAAGGGCAGGCACAGTAGCCTGGGATCTGAGCAGTCCTCAGAGGACAGTCCCTGGCACAGGGTTCAGAGCCTTCTAGTTGGGAATCCCAAGAGTTGATCTAAGCCCTCTTTCTACCACTTGCTCAGTAACAACTCTAGGTAGTGTGTTTGGCTTCTCTCTGGCTGGATTTTCTCAGCTGCAAATGTGAGGTACCTTCTCTGCTCTCTTCTGGTCCCGAGGCCAGTTGGAAGAACTGGATGAGGTACATATAAAAGGGTACTGTGAGCTTTGAATTATCTCACAAAGGTGTGGGATGACCTCTTCTGCTCTCTGAAGTGTCAAAGACCCCAGAACAAAGTGTCAGAGAACAGAAAAGTCCTATGCCCTGATCCACTGGTCCACAGCCATGGAGGTAGGCAGGGACAGTTCCCACCTTTCAAGCTCAGCAAGAAAATCTGCAAATACACACGCTAAGTTCAGTTGGTTTCTCCAAGGAGAAACTGCTGCCCTCTGACAGCTGTCTCTAGAGGGCATCAGAACGCAGCACAAAGTCATCCTCGGTACCAACACTCTGCAGCTGATGCAGGCCATGGCCTCCTCCCTGCAGAGGCCCCCTGCAATCCAGCTGCAGATGGCTGGCTTCACTGTGCCCGATCCTAAATTCAGTACCACACCATGCACTAGGGCTTGGCAAGGGCAGAAAAGTAAGCCTAGGTAAAGCCAGGCACCACACAGATACTCAGAAAATATTTCCTCTTGGGTGTTTTTAAAAATAACTTTATTGGAGTATCATTTACATGCCAAACATTTCGCCCATCACCAGTGCGTAGTTCCACGAGCTTCTGGGCACTTACAGAGCTTTCCAGCCATCTCTGCTACCCATTTTCAGACATTTCTATCACTGCCAAGGTCCTGCGCTCCTGCTGACATTCCAGCTCTGCGCCTGGCCCCAGCTATCACTATCCACGGTCCCCACCACTCGCTGTCCATTGCCTTTTCTGGAAATTACATACTACTGGGAGCACGGCCTTGTGTGCCTGGTGCTCTCCCCTATACCGTCTAATGTCTCTAAGGTCACTCGTGTTCTTACACGTACCACGCTACTTTCCTTTTTACTGTTTACCAGTACTCTGCTGTGTCACGTTTTGTTTATGCATGCACTCGGTGATAAACATCCACATTATTTCCAACAGGCTGGGTTCTGCGGAAGGTGGCGGGCTCTTACAAATGCCACGGCTATGCGCACTCACACACAGGTCTTGTACGGGCATGCTCTTGTTACTCTTGGGTAGATTCTGGAACTGCTGGTCGCATGGGTGAGTGTGTATTTTTTGAAAGTCTTAGGAAGGTGTCCAAGTGCGGCTATGTCTCAGAGCTGCAAGAAGGTGGTAGGAAGGGCTACAAAGTCAAGTGCGTGTGACAGAAGCACAGAAATGCCTGAGTGCACCTAAGGTATTTTTTTTCCTCTGAGAATTCAACACAGGGCCTTGTGCACGCTAGGCATGTATTCTTACCACTAAGCTGCAACCCTGGGCTTGCAAATTTTTATCATCTACTACTTCCAAGAATTTTTATTCACTCCAAGACAACAGAAGAAATCTGACTTCTTTTTTGTTCTGTTTTTTCAGGCCCAGGGACTGAACTCAGGGCCCCTGTACTGAATTATAATCTCCAGCCCTTCTTTTCTTTTTATTTGAGACAGACTGGCTGTGTTGTTAAGTGACTCACTGGGGTCACTTACGCATACCGCTAGGCCTCAGGAAACTTAAAATTTTAAGAACTTACTTACTTGATAGTATAAAAAAAATGTCCAAATCAGAAAATGTTACAGATAGATACAAGAAACATTTGCTCTCTTATTCAAGTGCATAAAAATTATAGCCATCTTGTGCATACAAATTATAAAACCCGTTTCCTCTGTGAAGAGCAGGCAGACCTTGATTCTCTTAATATCCCACACCATTTGCTGGCGACAGGATTACACAGAGCAGGTCATGTCCCTGCGGACACCCTGGCCATCTTTCTGGACAAATGGAAGAGCATCTGAGGTATGGGTGCCTCCCCTTCTTCAGTGAAGATCAGCCTGTCCTGCCGAGAATGCTGCTAGCTGTCGCCTGCCGAGAATGCTGCTAGCTGTCGCCAGCTTGCAAGTCAGGTATGAAACCAGCTCACAATGATGGTGAAAGGAAGATCAGGGGGCCCTGGGTGAGGACGAGGGGCCTCTGCTCTGGGTGATGTGCTTGAGCTTCCTTGAGTCTGCTCAGGAGATTTCAAGCAGGATCTCAATGTCATCTTGGAAAACCAGTGCTGCTGGGTTGGAAGAACTTCCATATAATGAATTACTCCTCTCATCAAAATAAAAGTCTACTGAACTTTCATCCCATCTGACCAAATGGAGACACTTATCTAGGTTCTCATAGCTACAAGAACGGTTCAAGAAGTACAGTATGTCACGGCAAAAATGAAACAAAAACTATCATCTTACTCATAAAGTGCTCTGGGGACGCAAGCATAGGAGAGGGATGGAGCAATCACTCCCAACCTCTGCTGCACAGACCAAGCACCCAGAGCTCCTGAGAGAAACAGAGATGCCCGACTCCCACCTACCCTGGACACTGACTGCGCGAGAAGGCGGTGCACAGTGGAAATTACAAACCTCCTGAAAGCCTCCCCCTTCCCAAGGGATTCCTGAGGATTCTAGTGTGTAGCAAACTCTGGGAAACGCTGGGATCAACATCACCCTGGCTTACACCAAAACCACACTGAAATTAAAATCCAGATAGCTTCGCTAATGCTCCTCTACTCTGAAACCTCGAATGTGCTCCAGGACCTACCTAAATTATAACCTCCACACCTGGGTGTGACATCTTACGTGGTCCTAGTGCCACCTACCTCCCCTGGAGTATCTGTCAAACAGGCCCCAGGATGCCCCAACTCGTCATCCCTGCTCCTGCCACTCCTTCCCGGAACTGCCCATCCTCACCCTCTCCTCTCTCTCTCTGGAAATCCTTCAAGGCTTATCTCATACGCCATCTCTTCTCGAAAGCCGGCAGAATCTTCTCCCCAAGAAAGGCACACTCCTTCCTTCTCCGGGACCCCCACCCCAAGCTACGCGCTGCGCTCCACGCATTCACCTCTTCGTCCCACCTCCTTCTTTCTGCCTTCTGTCTTTTCACTCCTTGCAGGAGAAATGGGGTAGCAGCTACAGGTACAGGCCTAACTGTATCCCTAGGCCTAAAAAGGGGAAGAAGTTAGGTGCTGCTGCTGGTCACCCCTGAAACAAACAGAGCTCCCCAAGAGTTCAAGGCAAGTGGAGATGAGCTATGCCTTTGCTCACAGCAAAGCAAGGCAGCCATGAGAAAGCAGCTCCCACTAGGAACGGCCAGAGTCTCAAGGGCGCTGGCCGGAGGCACAGCCTGGAGGAAGCAGCATGCAGGCTGTCCTGGGGGCAGGGCAGGGCAGGGCAGGGCTGGCCCTTGCCTGGGAAGACCCCAAACATGTGCATCCTTAAAGGTCCAACTGGTACCTTGGGTTGTATGCAGGTTTCATATAATGAGAAATACATCCTAAATATCCTGTGAATAAAACCCCAGCTTTAATTTTAGCCACATTTAAATGCATGATAAATTTACTTAGTGCACAATGAAAAGGTAATCACACCACGCATTAACTCCTAATAAAAACCAATTAAAGTCTTCTCTTGGCCTTCTCCTCTATGCCTAGCACTTGCTCAAACCTGGGGAAGAAAAACAGCCCCCAAACAGCATATCCTTAAGCATTCAGAAAATTTGACAGCTACAATGTGCCAAAGTGAAAGTACTTAATGAAATCTGGGATTCCAGAAATGAAGTACTTGGAGGCAAAAAGAAAAACAGAGTTCAACTCGTCTTTAAATTTAATACAACAACGACCAGCAGCTCACTCTGAAAAGGTCCCTGCTTCCCCCCAGATGCAGTCGCAGTTAGGGCCTGGCACTCTCCTTAGATTTGCAAAGAGAAAAACTTTTCTAAACAATTAGTGTTCCCAGTGGGGAGGACAGAGTGCCTTTCCAAGAGGGAATGAAGAGCTGCCCTCTTTCTCCTTAGCTATATCAGATGATGGAATTTTAGGAATTCAAGACTGACCAAGATTTAGTCTGAGAAAGACAGGGAGGCTGTGCAGAAGCCCTTCTGTGGTAACTTTCCTCAGTTAGGGCAGATAAATCTTCAAGGACAACCTCTCCCATGACCTTCCCACTCGCTTTTCCCTAAATCATTTCCCCAAATTCCGCTAAGAAGGAACCTAGCCCTTCACTAATAACTCCTTTTAATCTGTAAACCTTCACGCAGGGTCAGCGAGGCGCTCTTCTGAAGAGTGAGAATGTGGCAGGACAGGTGTGAAGGCACAGGCTGGCTAGTGGCTGGAAAGAAACGAAGTACGCAAGAAACACCAGCCTTTATCCTCTGGTGAAAAGCCCACGGCTGTTTTAAAATCTCTACCATAAAGCACATCTCCGCAGAAGGCAAAAGTTCTATCAATAGCAAAAATCCTATAAGCTAATCAATGAAAACAATTTCAGGAATCAAGATTACTTTATCACAAAATGAACTGACCATATTTTACAAAGTCCCTTAGGCTTCAATATTTGGAAGCATGCAATGACTTTTACACAGTTCAGTGCAGCGCCCTCAGGCAGATATGGGTCACGTAAATCATAATTACACTGAGAATTAAGCAAGTTAGACTGATTACTTTCACTCTTAGAAGAAGAGTCCCCAAAGCATGGCGCACCCGCACCTACAGGTTCCAATTCAGTAGGAAGGAAAACATCCCTGTTATCCAACATAACAACATCCTAGGAGTGGAGAACTACAACTCTGCACACGACTCTGCCAGGAAAAGGCAGCCCGCACCCAGGCAGCTGGGCAGCCCCTGGTCCCCTCCTGGGTAACAAGCAAGGGCTCTCCTTTTCACAAACACTGCACAGGTGCGCAAACACTGTACTTTGTCGCAGGAACATAATTTCCCATGAAACCTGTAGCACTTACCCTTCCAGCTGCTCTTCCCCTAAGATTTGGCGAAGGTTTTTCAGGAAGGACAAGGAGACCAAGGCATGGGAATGGCGGATCTTGACGTAGCCGGTCACCACCTCAATGAGCCCCATGAAGTTCTCCAGTTCCGACGCAATGTTATCTGCATCAAGAGAGGGGCTGTGCTGTCACTGGGTGAGGGAGCGGGGGGACGTGCTCAGGCCCATGCAGCGTGGTATGGGGAGCGATTCAGGGGAGTTGTGTGTGGGGAGATGCTCAGGATGTGGGCACACGGCCATCATCTCTTGTCACAAAAACATACTTCTTTCACCTTAACTTTCAACAGCCACTTCTGGGCAAGACCTCTGAGGCAGGAGAAAGCAAATTTCTAGGAGTCTGGGTTCTGCAGATCCCAAACTGATTAGCAGAATGTAAAATCATAAATATCAGACTGCCAATTAGCTCAGGCTGACAAATCCAGGGGATGCCTTCTAATGGGCTCTGTCAGCAGCCAGACCTGCCTCCACAGGACAAGGCCCTGGCTAATAAACAGTATTTTCTCGGTCTCATTAGGAACTGCCTTCACTGTGTTTCCAGTTCCTAAGATACGGGTTCTATATTTAAAGATTCCACCTTACTAAAACTGGAGGAAAACAAACCGAATGTACAAGGGCTATCTGCAGGTGATTTTCCCCCTTTTATGTGAGGTACTGAGGATTGAATCCAAGGCCTCACACACACTAGGAAAGCATGCTACTACAGAGCCACCTCCCTCATCGTGAAGATGCATTTTAAAAAAGCCATTCCTGTATCTCTTTGTTTTCTATAATGATCATGTATCACTTTCAAAACTAAAAAATAGAAAAAGTTGTTAAAAATATTTTAAAAATCACATAGAAACTGTGGATTTCCTTTCATCTTGTTAGCCCACACTTTTCTTATTCTAAATAATAGACATATACTTCAATTTGACTTGTGCCAAAACTACCATAAAGATTTTACTTCGGTATAATTCAATGATAGGAGTTTACTCTGTCTGATTTATAAAGTATTAATTACTGAAAGGTACTGTTTTGATCTGATATGATAAAAATAAAAGAATGGAGTGTTTTCTTGAAGGACAGGGCTTACATTTAATGGCTTTTCATGAGAAAGTAAGGGAAAATTCAAATCGGAAAGAGGAGAGGCTCCACATAGTTGGTGTTTACTAAACAAGAGCTTGAATTTGAGCACGGCACCCAGTGAGCCGTTTAGTGAAGGGATGGGGGCTCCTCCACAAGGCGTCCCATTGCCCTAAGCAAAACTAGTTTCTCACAATGGACATGAACTGGGAGACACACTTCCTTCATGCATGGAGATGTACCAGCTTCTTCTCAACTGATACTTCTGTATGGATGGAATTCACAGATTGCATTTTTTATCGTTGAGCTAGAATGCTTGTTTTTAGAAAAGCAAGTTTAGACACAAGATATGTTTGTTCCAGGGATGAGTAAGTTGAAGAGACTATAATTAATGTAGCCAAAGCAAAGAGCGTAACGAGGTGGTCTCCACTGTGAAGGGACGGGAAGTGAAAAGGGGGCAGCAGGAACGCGAAAGGAAGGCCTCAAACCTTGTGTCTTCTGTGTCTATACCGTAAGAGCAGTGTGCTCATTTGACAAATATAAAGGAAAAAAACCCTCAGATTTACAGAATATTAGTCCTTTCTTTTTCTCTTCAAATGAAAGGAAGTTCTTCACAAAAGGATCTACCCAAACAAAAATTTTCCTTTCAATGGCAATGTCTTCCTTTATTTAGTCTAGGCGACAATATCAGTACCCTGACCAAGTAGCCCCAGTGGTAGAGAAGTGAAGACATTACTAAAAGCCCTTGTCAATCAAACATCAGAAGGGAAAAAGTCAGGGTGTCACGCTTTGCACAAATGTGATTTAGGGGCAACTTTCCAGAACCGCCACCTTCTGTGAACCAAGGTGCTTCTACAGGGGCAAGACTGATGCTGTAGTGTATGAGGACTCATCATTGTGTCTTACGGCTTCCAGAAGGAAGCTGGGAGATCTACCACTCTTCTGGCTTTCAGAAGACACGACAACATCAAGTTCTTTCCTTCACTGCATCTCTTCAATATATGTAAGGAGGCCAAATTCTCTGGACGTAGAGAGGTGGGGATCTGGCCACAGAGGGAGCGGGCAAGTCATGCTCTAGTCCCCTAGTCGCTGCTGGATTCCCTATGTGTTGGGACTGGCCTCTCCGGCACACCATGTCACTGACGGATGAGGGGTGATCCCTTTTATAGGAATAAGCTGTACCAGTAGCTGAAACACAGCCTGCCTCTCAATCTGTGTTTTTATCTGGGAATGCAACTCAGAGAAGAGACATGCATGAGGGTCACACACTCTGTTGTTTCTCCAAACTGTATTTTAGTGGTGACTTGAGGACCAGACCAGGAGCTACATGGACTCAAGAAAACCCAAGATGTAGCCTCCCATCCAGGGGTGGGGGTACTCACTGCCTCGTCGGATATTAATGAGCAAGTTGCCCTTGAGGATGGTGCACCCTTGGAGCATCTGAGCCGAAGTCACAGAGTCGATGGTTTTTGTCTTCTTTTCTTCCTCACAGACCTTGGGGCAAGGACCTTCACATGGAATGCAGTACATGCTATGGAAGACAAAGAGGCAGCTGAAAACACAGAGAACCAAGTCTGCCTTCTTGCAATGAAGAACTATAAACAGGCTTTCTAGTTGCTACTGGAGCACACATTCTGAAAAGCGAGTGTTATGAAGTGGACGGGTGGTCACTGGCTGTCTCGTGCTCCAGCCCACCCGGGATAAGCTGTTCAAAGTGCGATCAAAAGAGGAAAGGAGCTATGAAGGAAAAAACACAATGCTTGTTTCCAGACAAAATACATGACCCGTTCTGGAAGCATGTGTGAATTCTAGGCTGCGCACAGGGAGCCAGCTGGTTCCACGTGGGAGACACAGACGCACAGAAAGAAAGCTCTGAAGGCTCAGGAGGAGAATGAGGCCGCTCTGGTTCTGCAGGCCTTGCTGCATGCTCAGGGCAGCAGCCAGGAGAGGTGGAAAGGGACAGTAACAGGACTGTGGCATCCCTGCCACCAACAGGCGTCTGTCTCCTGCAGTCGGTAGCCCACTAAATCCCCACAAGGGATTCTAAAAGCCATGTGTGCGGCACAGACCCATTATTGTCTTGTTCAAGCACAACTGAAATTATTTTTTGACAATGTTTTGCAGAAACTTGTAAATTGATCCAAATGTTGTTTTTGCTGCACATACAATAAAAGCAAGGAATTTCCAGGACTTTGTAATGAGATCCTGTTCCAAACGCTATCCTAACCATACCACGAACTACCAGGAGTCAGAGACGAGACTGGCATTTTTCCTGCTTATCTGCCATTATTTAGGGAACAAGACAAAATGCAAATCCAGCAGCTCCATATTCGAGATCTACAGCTATATGCAGAATCAAGGTTACAAAGTCAGGTCGATTTCCAAGCAATTGATGGTACAGCCTTATGAGACGTGTGTGACGTTGACGGGGAGGGAAGTCGGAGAGCCACCATATTTAAATTATTGTTGTTCAATGGTCTTTACTAAGCTTCATGAAGATAAAGAAAAGATATAAGAAAAATGTGTAAATTAGAGTTGTTTTTATTAAAGTCCTTTCCTCTCCCTTAAAATACTGTATCTATGACAAAGACATAGGAATTCGCTATGTTTAAAAGCTAACAGGTAAACAAAATTTCTTGGCTTGCTCTGTTCATGCTGGAGTCCTGCAGAACTGGACCCACCCAAATAAGGAGAATTCCTCCTCCTCCTAATATCTCAGGCAATGCTCTCCTTTCCACCATGGGCAGTGGTTTCCCTTCTGCATTTTTTTAAAGTCTTCGGCTGTTTCTTATTTATCCAAATAAGATATGTTTCCTTACCCTCCCTTTAAAAAAGTTCTGATTTTGAAATGATTGTAGATGCACAAGAAGTCACAAACACAGCAGAGGATCCATGAACCAGCCCTCCACTGAATTTCCTTCAGTGTCTGCTACATCTTACATAATGATAACACAATTTCAAAAACTGAAAATTAACACCAGCCCAACACAGAGATCTGTGTGGTCCCTACTGTAGTCAAGACCCCTCTGTGTGACCCATTTGTGGCCACTTTCCCTCACCCTGGCCCCTAACAGCCTTAGCTCCTGGCAACTACTAATCTGTTCTCCATCTCTATAATTTTATCATTTGGAGAATATTGAAGAATAAAATCACACAGTATGGGGACCTTTTGAGACTGGATTTCGGTACACAACATCTCGTCCCTGGGATCCATCCAAGTTGCAGTGTATTTTGGTGGCTTGTTCCCTGCTATAGCTAAGTGGTCTTCCTGTGTGTGGAAACATCATAGCCCACCTTCACCATCTACCTTTTGAAAGACAACTACGTCGTTCTAGTGTCTGCATATTACAAATAAAGATGCTCTAAACAACACAGTGCATGATTTTGTGTAGACATGGGTTTTCATTTCTCTGGGAGAAATGTCCAGGGCTGTTACGGATAGGTTGTAAGGCAGATCCTTGTTTAGTTTCCCTCCATCTTCTATTCAGGGAGAAAATTTTGAGCTACACACACCCCTTTATTAAAATGTCTAGAATTCATTTAGCACTTAAAATGATTTTGCAAGGAAGTGTTTTGCTTATGTATTTATAGATTAAACTTCCTCAACTTCACTCTGGTACAGAGTATAAACAGTAGTTAAAAAATATTTTAAAGTAAGTATTACACAGGCCTCACAGGCAGAGAAAGGGTATTTATTATTTCTTGATAATGTTTTATTTTAAAATGGAAAAGGTAGATCTGTAGCTCTGAGCAGATTATCAGAATGGGCAGGGGAAACAATGGCTCAATTCTTTAATGTGCTGCATGGGAAGAAAACAACCCTGGGAAGCCAGGGCTCCACTCTGCCCACCTCTGATACCTCCTGGTGGCGTGAGGAACTGCACATGCAGGTCACAGATGGTGCCACTCCTGTCCCCAGACCAGGGCTCGGGAGGACGGTGATGGCTCCACTGTGGCCAGGCCTCTCCTTGATGCCAGGCACGGCTCTAGGACCCACAGTACATACTGATACAGCTCTCTTACACACTAAGGATGTGCTATAGTTGGATCTCAGACCTCAGCTTGACACCATTGGGAAGTGGTGGAAACTTGAAGAAGTGAGGCCTCGTGAGAGGTCTTCTGGCCACTGGAGACAGGTCCCCGAGGGGCAGTGGGACCTCAGCACATTCCCTCGGATCTTTCTCTGTCTCCAATGCATTCCTGGACATGAGGCTCTATTCCATCATGTTCTGGATCAATTCCCAATACCCCCAATATACCAACACCACCAGCTGCTCCTAGAAGTCTGCAATTGTAGCACTCTGCGAGGCTGAGGCAGACTCTCAGCTTCAGCCCAGCTTGAACAAGTAGGGAATCAGCAGAACCATCATAATAAGTAAAGGGCTAGGGGTGCAGCTCAGTGCCAAGACCCTGGGTTTGATCCCCAGTACTGGGGCGGGGGTGGGGGGGTGGGGTACAGAGTTGGGTTGGGGGAGAAACAGAAAAAGAAGAAAAGTAAGTCTTGGCCATGTGTATGTAACACCAGTGCAGGAAGGTGACAGTCCTGCCTGGGCAACTATGGAGATCTGATCTCTCTCTCTCTCTCTCTCTCTCTCTCTCTCTCTCTCTCTATATATATATATA